TTTTATTGAAAATAAATCTGACCATCGGTGAACGCTCCTTCTGCTTCCATGGGCCCACGTTCTGGAACCAGCTCCCCTTCCATATACGTCATAGTGAAACCTCGTACATTTTCAAAAAGTCCCTTAAAACTCATCTGTTTAGGTCCGCCTATGACCTGTGATGCACCCTCCTTGCCCTACCTAATTTTCTGTTTCGGTTTAATCCTGAAGTGTCAAAGTGTCCTCTTTTTATAGCCATTTTCATTGTTTCTATAGAATAGTAGTTACTATCCTAGTGTCTCATTTGTATTTACTTAACTTACATGTTTTAATAATTGTAAAGCGCTTAGAGCTTTATGATAAGCGCTATATAAAAATGCCTAAAAAAATAAATAAATTAGATTGCTAACTTACTTATGTTTTAGTGTTTTTTTTTTTTTAAATCATCTTTAAATACAAATTATAGTATTTAGTCAATAAACTCCTTAACGAGCTGTGCCATTCGTCATGGATCTAAAACTTCAGCACCAGAGTTTGTTAACATATTTAAAATAAAAGTTGCTCTCTATGCATTTACAAAAACATTTGAATGATATATATTTTTTTCATCCTATGTTAATTTCAGATCTTATAGTTGGGACTCAACACCTCAATGTATAAGTGCATTTAGAATTATTACCTTTTCTGAATATATAAATATGTATATATTAAATGTATGGTTTTTCAAATTTAAAAAAAAAAACTTAATCAAAGTCAGTCAAGACTTACAATCTGTATCAAATTTGGAAACTATAGTGCAATATACGGTGTAAAAAGGTTTCAAATAAGCAAACAGTATGAATTAATTTTTATTAACATAGTCATTAGTTTTCTTTCGTTTACAAAAGAGCGCAAATGGATTATTCTATAAGAAAATAAACTCAAATCCGTATTAAAATTAATATGGGGGTCATGTTTAAATAACACGTTACTAAATGCTAAACAGAAATAAAAAAAATATAATACACACATTTATTTTCACCATGATAGTTTTGGTGTCCCCGCCAGAGTCGGACATTTCTCATCTGTGAACCGTCAAATCTCACCAATCACTGCCAGTAGCCCATCAGGTCCGTAGATTGAAACCTTCTCGCCTTGGGTTTAGAATAACTCAGACGAAATTAACCGTTTGATGAGTTGTCTTGGTTTTGAAGCCGAAAATGAACAACATCAATTCTAATATACCAAATTACGTTTCACGTGCACGTTGTTTTCACATTTAAAGTTCTACTGCTTTTTTCCGTATCAAAATAAAAACCATCATCAATTTAGTTAATACCGCTTGAAGTAATTAATTGCAGACCTTTAAATAGTCGACCCCGCCTTAGCTAGGCTTGTGATGCAATATGACTCTAGCATTTTGTTAAAAACACATTCATACATAGTTTACAAGATTAGGCAGCTACATAATGGGGTCAAAGAGTACAAAACCACAATAGTAGTAATGACAAGAAAAAGTAAACAGTATTAATTTCTTTAAAATGAGTCATACTTTAATTAGGAAATGAGTAAAACAAATTCAGGTCAAACCTGAAAAAAAAAAAAAAAAAAAAAAAAAAAAAAAAAAAAAAAAAAAAAAAAAAAAAAGAATGCAACTAAACAACGAACGTGTCGGCAGGAATCCTTCGTCAGTGAACAAACAGAAAAAATCCAGAAAAAACAATTGAAATATAGCACTTAGACAGGTAATACCCTAGAGGGCAGCTAATGAATCGTTAATTTTTCATTGGAATATAGCAAGTGCTCCTTTAGTTAAGTTCAATCTTGATTTTTTTTGTGAGTGCAAAAAGTCATCTATACGTCACGTACTTCAAACCCAAGGATCGTCAGGAGCATCTCCGTGTTGGCCAGTATCAATGGAGAGAAGTTCTTGATGTTTATCGTAATCCGTTTCACAGGTGGTCATCGTTTTTATGATATCGAAAATAATTTCATTCCAACTATTTAAGGAGCTAATTAAATATTTGTTTTAACACGTGTCATTGTTTTTAACCCATTAATTAGACATTATAGGTAGGCACGAACGATAATGATCAAACATTAAATACCCAGGTCCAGCTGTTTAAACTGTCGTTTAGATTTTAGAAATTCATTTAAAAAAAAAATCATTGCTAACTAATCGATGTTTCATATCTCATAAATAAACGCGGGAAATTCCAGTTGGGTACTTCGTTGTTAAGAAAACGTTTATATCTTTGGATACTATGGATATGAAGTGCAGCAGTTGTAAGAAATGCTCATGATAAGTTGATTCAAATTTTTCAGCTTTACAATATTTATTTTAGTTATTTTTGAGAGTCTATAATTAATTCGTGCTTAATAGCGGTTGTATCAGTGCGGTTAGATATTAATCTCATACTGAAAAGTACAATGTAAAAATCGTCTCATCAATAGAATTATGTTTGGACTTACACTGATAAACAGTTTTTCAAAAGGCTTTAAAATAATTTATTGCCATTAACTGTACATAGGCAAAAATGTTCAAACCTTGACGAAAAACTAGGGCCGTAAAGGATTTTTTGAGGTCAAGGCCGTATTATCTTTAAGTTCTGTTAAGATCATACCTAACAATGGTCATGGTTCTATCCAGATGAGTACAATAATTATCTGTATAAAAATAGGTAAACTGAGATTAAAAAGTATTTTTGTTGAATAAGCTTTCCTGAAAAACAAAATCAGATTATTTGGAAGTAACATTCTTAGAGTGTTCAGTAGGTAGCAGCTCATCTTTATCCTTACATCTTTTTGTAGAATTTGTTTTAAAAAAGGAATACACGCCATCTCAAATAAAATCATAACCAAATATTTAAACAAAAATGAGAACTGTTTATTAAGATAATTTTTCAAAATTTATTTTAAAACAAGAATTTGTTGGGAATTATATATTCTAAAAAGAAAAACAACATACACGGTCATTTTAAGATCTCATCCTTTTTTAACGGTAACTATTTAAGAGATTCTAGTTTAAACTGTTATTTGAAGTAAATAAACATGTTGTTTCATTATTCTCCTGAAAGTACAATTTGCATTTTTCTCTTTTTAATTTTTTTTTCTACTATTTATGTTGTTCTTTTCTCTTTTTTTTTAAATAAAAAGAAAAAGAAACACTAACCTATTTAAATATATCAACACACATAATTAATAATTGGATTATAAGAAGATATTTTATCTCAAAGTTACAAAAAAAACAACAAAAAACAACACTTTATGAAACTTCCATACAACGCTAGTTTCGTATGTGTGAATTCTATATAGATCTATACAAATTCTGTATAATCAAAATTTTAGAATGATTCAGAAATTCAAAATCTAAACCAGGAATTAAATAAATGTAACATATTTTCATAAATTTCGGAGATTTTTGGTTGCGGATGAAACACAAAAAAATTTTAAAAAATAAATTTAAAAAATATTTTTTTTTTTTAAAATTCGGCAATATTAATTTCTTTTTTACGGAACCAGATGGTGATCGAATATTCGCTTTAGAAGACCCTATAGTGATGTTATCATGAACTCACTCCAAAAAAATTGTTGGCCTCGTTTTTAGTATCTCCACGTGCCGTGTCTATTTCCTACATTTACTATATTGTGTTTGAAATGCAACAAATATCTTCTAATGCAGACATGCAAAAATGTTAAGTTTCCTTACTAATAAGTCTGTACAGAAACCGTTATGGGAGAATATGACATGGAACGCGCCTGCTTAAATTTGTATTGCATTATATATAATAAAGATGTATCCTGTAATTCACTGTGTATCAATTGTTTTCGGTAGCATTTGGAGAAAAGTTGGCTAGTTGCGTATTTATGTAAACATTAAGTAGTGTGTATGGGATCTCGAGAACTTAAACCTGGCTTAATACCATAGGTATTCAGGGGTATTCCAGGGGTATTCCAGGGGTATTCCATTTCGAGACATTTTACCGGAAAGAAAAAAAAATAACCTTAAAGTTTCAGAAAATGAAATCTGCTTGGCATTTTTTTTTTCAACAGCTACTTAGATGCGTAATCCGGTGTTGGTTTAGCGTCAAGAAAAAATAAATCCTTGAAGATGAAGGCTGCTTTGCAAAATAGATTACATCTGGCGGCGAATAACTGTATTGGAAAGAGACACTGGACATCGGGTCACGCAATTTGCAGAGTGGGAAATAAATAATAAACTACATTAATGAAATTGAATAACAAGGTTATACATTTTACATCCATAATTTTTCCAAATATTTAAACACAGAGAAACAAAAAATTTTACTTTTAAGACTATATGTATTTAATCTAAAAAAAAGAAGAAAAAAAACTCACAAGGATGTTACATGAAGAACTGCGTTCAAGTTATGTGAAGGAAAAAGTGGAGCAAGGTGTGTGCAAGCTTGAATTAAAAACAAAAGTCGGGAGATTAAGATCAGAACGTTTCGGCTAAGAGCCTTCCTCGTCAAACAGAACAAAAATTAAAATACGACAAGAAATAGAAACTAGTTCTAAACTAAAGCGATCGCAAATTACTTCCGGTAATTAAAATGGCGATAAGTTACGTTTTCTAAATTATTTTATTTTTGTCTGTCTGCTTGAGAAATTCTCTTAGCCGAAACGTTATGATCTTAGTGTCCTGTCTGCTGTGGAAAATGCTTTTATTCAAAACCACCTGCTCTTATTATCCTGTCTTCTGAGGAAGGCTCTTAGCCGAAACCTACTGACATTAGTGCCCTGTCTTTCAATTGAAACTTCAACATATCTTGCTCTGCAATTTCCTTTAAAAAACACACCACACAGCATGAAAACATATAAATGGGTGTAGCATTATCATAACTTTGGTTTTTACGTTGTATTCTTCGAACCACTAAACTGACTACAGTATCAGTTGACGCTCAAGGCTCCGATAGGTACATTCTGAACCCTTTGAGAGCGTTGGCATAATTCTGAATGTCCCCACCATTCAAGCGCATGCGCTCTGGGGTGACATCCTCATTTCCGGTCATGTATGGTAGCCCCAGCGGGTTGCACTCAGTGCTGAAATTACAATTCCGAAACCACCAGCCGGCCCCTGCTGCGCCTGCGCAGTTAACGGCTGGATCTTGGTCGTGATCTGCATCCGGGGTAGAAAATGGCGTCGGCGTGTTAGGAGACATGCAAATCGAAAACGGCAAATTGTTGTTGTTTGTGACAATCCTCGCCTGCCCGTAGCTCAGAGAGTAGTGTGTTTCAGGCCCTCCTATCACGACATCGTCATATTTTACTCGAAACGAGTCATTTGCCAAGCCGAAATCGAGGACGAATATCAATTTCGTCAGATTGCCTCCTTGGTTGAGATAGTGGATTTTTTCAAGACCGAGCCAAAAGTCGCGTTCCGTGCTGTTGTTTTCCGGGGCGTAGTATCCGTCAACGTACTCGCTCCACGTTCGGGTATTATTGATAGCATTGCCTATTGTCTGGTGCACGATGTCCGTGCGAATTTCGTCCGCCTTTAGCACCGCGCAATTGGTTTGGAAAGGTGCGGAGAAGCCAGGTGAGAGTAGAAACGTTTTAGTATTAAATGTCACATAGTCGTATGCCATTAGCTCAGAACATGACTCTGCATATCTCTCGCAGCGGAGCCCTACGAATCCATTACAGCATCTGCACGTCTCCGAAACATCGCTCCATGCTCCGCCATTCAGGCATCCATCCGGTGTCGGCCATCTTTCGTAATACGTCAGACTTTTGTCTTCCGCGACGCAGGTTGATTTTAAACCAGGACAGTGTCGCAGCAGAAAGCATGCACTGTTCCCATCAAGACCGATACCTTGACAGCGCTCCTCGTCAGCGCACATCATGCCACACTCGATGGCGTTTCCAGGGGTACCCGTGTTGGTCAAACAGCCAAGCTCTAATTTAGCGCGCGTGTCGCACAACACGTCTGATTTCATTGAGGTCAAGCTTCCGAACACGCCATGGCCGGACACGAGGACACAGACGGAAACGGTTAGTGTGGTGATCCACTGCCTGGGAACCATCTAAAGTCTTCTTTTGGAGATATAATATATATATTAATCCAAGAAGTGACGTTGATAGTTTAGCGCATCCCTTTAAGTTAAAAATTACGATCAATAAACTTTATTAGTTACAAAAATCAATTATAATAAATCTTTAGTGAAGAAAATTTGTTAATTTTCTAGAATATTGGCATGGGAAATTAATTCAGAAATGTGTCGTTTTGTTTTTGAGAAAACAATTTTACATTTTACGAAACATAGATTCTTTAACTTATTTTTTTTTTTTTAAAACTTTAAAGATGGTAGAATTATTTTCTTTTATATAAAGGTAACTTACTTGATTTATGTAAAGTTAACACCAAAAAAAACCACACACCAAGTTTTACAATGTTAAACTAACAACTTTTCAGAGTCAAGAAGAAAATAACACAAAAGACCTCCATGCACCACTTCTAGTGACGGTTCCTCTTACTAAGGTGGAACATTTTCTAGTTGTTCATATATTTTTTTTTCATTGCCTAAGGCATGTGTCACTCAGTGATGATATTCTATACCTACGAATACATACTTTTCAACAAATCACCATTTCTTTGTAATGTCATTTGACACAACGGATGCGAAAGAAATTATATCGATAAATTTTAAACGTGAACAAGTTTATTGAAATAGGGGGTGTAGGGGTGTGGGTGGGGGGAAGAGATGCAGGTTTATGTCGTTTGAATTTCTGTATGAAATAGTCGAATCTTGGGAACCCCACTTAAATTCCCCCTTCTGATTCGTTGGCATGAATGGTGCAGGTAATCTGTTGTTAGCTTCAATGGTCAATCAATGCGATCCATTAAGACATACAACACCCATGATGTGCCCTATTGGTTCGCTGAGCACATAGATGGTCGGTTGACTTACTTCTTTCGTCCGTACCATATTTTTGAGTCGTCTGATGACGTTGAAATCGTTGAAGGACAACACTACCATTAATTGTGTTTTTATCGATTTATTTAATCCTTTATGGGAATTTCGCGTTTGTTCGTGGATGGCTGACAAAATATTCAGACAAAAGATTGACCCACTTCCCGTCAACCTATCGAACTGAAAATTGACACATAGCCTCACTGACGCTGACGGCACATTTTATCAAATTTATGGCCGATTTCTGCGCTGGAGAAATACATAAGATGTCGTGTGTTTTATAATTGTAAAAGAAAAAAAAATCTTTATTAAAATATGTATTTATAAGTGAGAAAAAATTAATATGTACAATGTAATAAAAACATTGCCATGGCTATGGATCAATAAATTACCTTATCTTATCTTATCTTTATGTATGAATTAAACTTTTTAAACAAACGTCTAATTCATTGATGAAAAAAAACAACAACGCAATGTTATAAAAGTGGGCTAAAATAAAGTCAGTGTTATTTTTAACTAAAAAATTTAATTCATTGGATCGAGATTTTAAGTCATCTGGAATCCACGACAAACATTGGTCAATTATAATGTACTTTATATGAATATCCATTTCTTGTTAATTATTTTTTTGTTAGTTGTTGTTATTTTTTGGGTCAAAATGTGTCGGATCCTTTGAACACTAAATTCTACTTTTAAAAAAAAGAACAAATGCTCCATCCATGTGGCGTATTAAAATTATTCACTACTGAGTTTTGAAATTAAAGTTTTAATAATAACATTCAATGTTTTTAAAACAGCGATTCCATGTTGAATTGTAGACATCCTTGTAAATCTTTAATGCATGCATAATCACAGTGCTGCCGTGACTTGCCATGCTGAATGAGTCCTTGTTTTAAGTCACCGTTCAGTTTGAAGGCTTCCTTGTACAATGCTCTGATGTGTTCATGACTTCAGTATTCCCGTGCGTTGCGTGTTATTATGAATCCCGGTTGGCATACCACATTTTGTTTCTCCAACATCACACCGAGCACCACTACATGGTCGTGTTTTATTATTTCATACTATGGTACGTCATTGATCGTGTAAAGTAAGATAAATGGGTGGAATTCCGCAATATGTCAGTCTTTCAATTGTTCCCATGAGGGCTAAAATTAAATTTTGTTTTTTAAACTCGCTTGAACCTATCAGATACATATGTCAATTTCCTGTCGCAGTTTCAATGTCATTTGCGGCGTTTAGAATCATTTACGGCGTTTAGAATCATTCACGGCGTTTAAAATCATTCACGGCGTTTAGAATCGTTCACATATTATCATTCGTCGGTTCACTATTCATTTTTTTTTTCCTTTCTAATTTTAACTTTTAACTAGAACGCATGAATTTTATCATTTTAAAATTGCACCCACTCTGTTTCCTTTAGAAAAAAAAAGGAAAAAAATGTAATTGCTCATTTATTTTTATACACAGCCGAACAAACATTCAAAATTTCATATTTGTTTTAATGCAAACAGTTCCAACGATATTGTTACAATTCGATATTATGTTGTTGTTTTTTTATAACGCCTTATACCTACATGCTACCATTCTTCAGCGCTCGACTCACTTTGCCAGAAAACATCCCCGGTGAGTAAACCCGGTTAATGGTGGAGCTGTATGGAACAAAAAAAGTAGAAACAAAAGTGGCGTTCGGAGTGCGGTATTGTTCTTTGATGGGCCAGGAAAGGTGTTTGTCACTTTAGCGATGGTGTGTTAAAAGGATTTGTGTTTCGGTATGAAAGCGTTGCGAGACGTGGAGAACGTCATCGGTTTTGAGGGGATATGGGGAAAGCGTCTGAATAAAATATGATCCCATTTTTAACAACGCCTAGAGTGTATTCGTATTACATGTGACGTAATGAGTATAATATATAAAAGGATACATTTGGATATGGTCTTTAAGACATGTTTTTTTTAACTTTTTTGTTATGTTAAAAAAAAATTATATGTCTTACATCAAGTTATTGAAAATTGTGGAGATTTTAAATGAATTTTTTTTATGGAAGAAAAGTGGGATTAGAGATCTGTGGGGAAAAAAATATGTATGTTCATGGTATACGCTGTCCGTTTTCATGATCTGTCACACCGAGTTCTTCACTTTTAACGAAATGCACGTTTCTCAACATTCTTTAATAACAATCACCCGAAGGTGTAGAGAAATACCCCCCTTGAAGAAATCTTTGTTTACATCAAACTTTCTTCTACAACTGGGGCTTGTCGGGAACACCCGTAATTACACAGGCATTTAATGGTGTACGCTATAACGTTCATCTCCATATCCCTGCAAGGATTTCAATGAATCATCATGTATCTGTCGTACATTTAAAACTAGAGGGTTCTCAACTTGCACATGCCCGACATGACACAATCGAAGAGATGTTCAGTATCAATGTATTCACCACAAACTGACAGCATCCAAGTCTCAAGGTGTCCCGTTAAAAGAGCTGGACGTTCAGAAGTCACAGTAAACACATATGCATATAAAATTATTTTTTTTTCAAGCAGTCGGAGAAACGTGTGATAGTTTTTCAACCAACCTAAATTTCAAAGCAAAAGTCATTAGAATTCAAAGGTCTGAAACACTCATTGATAAAGGACAGAATCGTAGGAGATATTAAGAGTGACAACGTTAGAACTAGAACACTTAGAGTAGCGGTTCTCAACAAGTGGGTTGCGACTTTATTCGAAGAGTTATATTTTTTTTCGATGTACCTACGGTTCCGGGTTTTAAATGATGAAAACATTACAGTTTAACTAAGGTCCATTATAAATAGGCTAACTTTAATAGATTCCTTTTTTTGTGTGCAAAGATACCCATGTCATGAATAGTCACCTGTAAACGTGAGCTACACTTGAATTGGTTGAGTATCCGAATCAATTAAGAAAGAATCAATTTATTGATTTATTAGGTAGAATTAATAATAAATTCAAAATTGGACACCAATAAAGGATGCGCATATTTTCAAAGAAAATATTTTTTTTTAAAATTTGTTCTTTAAAAATTATTTTGGACAACACTCAACCACAAACACCATCCTCATTAGTCAGAAAATACTTTCACGCCAATAAACATACATGCCCACACCAACACACACGCAAGTGTTACAAATAATATTCCACGTTTACAACATTCGATATCATTCCGTTGAAGAACTCAACTGCTTATTAAATGAGTTATTATCAATTTGTACTTACATGTTTACAAAACTCCTCATAAGTCTAGAAGATTTTTTCAATCTCAACTTTTTACGTCACCACCAAAACCTTACTTCACCATCAAAATCTTACTTCACCATCGAAACCTTACTTCACCATCAAAACCTTACTTCACCATCAAAATCTTACTTCACTATCAAAACCTTACTTCACCATCAAAATCTTACTTCACCATCAAAATCTTACTTCATCAAAAAACCATTTTTCAAGCGTTCTTATGGAAATTCCAAATTTTATTTTAAAATCTTTAATTATGGTGGTCATTTTCTGTACATAATACATTAAAAAAAAAAAAGAAAGTTTTACATGTTTCTATTTCAAACGACAAACTGTTAAACTGCAAAGAATGTGATTATTTTTTTAGACTGTCCATATATTCATTATAAACTCGACGTCAATCACACATGTCATTGTAAAGTTAATCGAGTAACATGCTAGGATCCACCACAAACGCAAACCCCCCCCCCCATCCAAAAAAAAATATTAAAAAACCCTGTGCAATCTAATTTGAGAACCAACAGGCAAGCACACGGTTTTCGTCCCACCTGAATGAAACCTCGACGTCAATCACACATGTCATTGTAAAGTTAATCGAGTAACATGCTAGGATCCACCACAAACGCAAACCCCCCCCCCATCCAAAAAAAAATATTAAAAAACCCTGTGCGATCTAATTTGAGAACCAACAGGCAAGCACACGGTTTTCGTCCCACCTGAATGGTCCAGACAACAACAAGGACCAGAAAACCCGAAATTAAATATTGGCCCCAAAAACGGTTGAGTAACTGTTAACATCTTGCCACAGACTTAAACTTGGGAAGAACAGGGCAACAGGCAATTCGAACCCGAAAAAAATGTTATAAGGTGCAAACAAACAGCGGTAGTATATTCCCCATATATTACAGGGGGGGGGTTAAAAGCACAAGTTTAGACGCTACTGCATAGAAGTAAGCATTTGTGAACAAAGTACTAACAAAAAAATTCACCTCATACATTTATTTAAAACGAGGACAAAATTATTTTTTTTTTAAAAATACCGTAATAAATAAATAAGCAAAAAAAACAAAAAAAAGCTAAAATTTTATCAACGAGTATTGTATCAAAATATTTTTTTCTTTGCACACGCGTATATAAATAATCAGAGAATAAAATGACTAATCTTCGCTACCAAAAAGTTTCCTAAATGGCCACGTGACAAATCCTACGACATTTGAAAAGAAGCCCTCATCGTTGGTCTCCTTGGCTGCCCTGTATTTATGTTCAATGTCTTCCACCTGTTTCCGTTGGCGCATGCGTTCTTCTTCTAAAGTTTTCTGAAATTCCTTCTCGCGCGTTTCTCTTTCTTTATCCATTTTCTCTGTCATGCCTCTCCATTTCTTTTCCTGTTCTTCTAACAGCTTACTCCTACGCTGGTCCTCAATCTTGTCTTTGATAAGTCGCTGCTCATACTCCTCTCTCTGCCGTGCCAGTTCTGCCATAAAGGCTTGGGTTCTCTCGTCTTCCATTTTTCTCATTTTCTCCCTCTCTTGGATGACTCTTTGTGAAATCTTAATCTCATCGGCAATGGTGACTTGAATGGATTTGGCTGTTTGCATTATGTCATTGAGGGCTCCTGTCCCTTTGTCCTGCACCTGGATGTTGTCGTATAAAGTCGTAGCTCGTCTCTGAAGATCATCCAAATACGAAAGTCTTTCTTCGGGCTCAACATTCTCCTGGGTCCAATGAAGTTTCTGGATAAGTAAACTAATCTCATTCATAGTTTCCTCCCTTAGCATCGGCTCCTTGGCTTCCACCATCAACTTCTCGCGAGCTTCCCTGGCTTTCTGGAAATTGTCGTCGGTGTAACGAAGATCTCTCCAACGTAGGTTGTCCACCATTTCAATGAGATCTTTCAGTTGCTTCTCTTTCTTTTCTTCATCTTTCGTCCTGTTGTCAAATAATATAACTCTATTGCAACATTCTTTAAGCAGTTCTTTAAACACACCAGTTTGATCCTTACACCACTCTTCAAATGTTAAGTAGCTGTGATCTTCAGTTTCAAAATTGTCTCCACAAGTTAGAACTAAAATACAAAAGTTTTTGACAAAATTCTCTCCGAAGACTTGTTTCAAAAATTTTACTGTGTCCTGGCCTTCTGCAGTGAACCTTCCTCCATATTTGGCCACCAGTAGAAACGCATGATATCCTCGTACGTTGGCTGAAATGGCATACTCCATTGCCCCCATAACAAGATTCACAGATTTCTCATTGTCCATGCGTGTGTCGCCAACACCTGGTCCGTCAACTACTTTGATGATGCGGTTATCGAATTCGCTCACTTCATAGGCAACCTTTTTGGTAACCGATTCTTGAGAACTTCTGCTGAGAAAAGCCTTTCTACGCAGGATCGTGTTACCAAGAGCACTTTTCCCATTTCCTGTCTTCCCAATAAGCAGAAGATCTATGTCTCTTGACGATTCCATGTTGTATCTGTAGATGAAAAACATCGTTTAAATTAAAGTCATTGGAAATTAAATGTCTGCATTGTTTAATGTATTGGTCGTTTTATTAAACACACTTAAATCATAATACGATTCAAGTTTAGCATAAAAATGAAAAAAAAAAAACTCATTTTATAGCTTAATAGGCTTGAGTCTTGTGAGTAAGTTGCTCTGTCCTATTGCTGTAAAGAACTAGTAGATTTTAAAAGCAATATGTGTTTGTCCGTTTTTTTAAATCAATTTTTACCAAAGCACATTGTCAGAGTTATAGATATATACAGTTAATGCATTATATATACTGTTTTTTAATAGTTTTTTTTGCAATTTGCGAAACCTTCAGAAATATGATGTTACATCAATTGATTTTAAATATAAAGACAGGAACAGGAGGTGATTGGAAGAGGAAAGTACGGAAAAGGAATGAGGGGAATGGTGGGGGTTACCATTCAAGAGAGTGTTACTTGGTAATGAAGCGTGTTTGAAATGGGCGTTAAAACATATGGATAAAGATAAAAGTCATTAGCATGTAAGCATATATAGGGCATTTTAAATGTAGATTAAATTAATGCATCGACATGCTTTTGTTGAAAGCTGAGATAGTTCTGTTCATCAAAATAAAACGTTTTTTAAAACTTAAAACTAATGATAAAATAATCATTAAAATATTTGTTATTCTCTCTCACTGAACTAGACTCTAGGTTATCTTGTATCAAAACTTCTCCGCTCTGATTTTTGAACGTAGATATTGTTATCATTCAAAATACACTGCCATTAAAACTTTAGAAGGGTCGTTCGCAAATTACATCAGGCTCAGGGTGAGAGGGGGGGGGGTCGAGAATTTGTGATAGGGGATGGGTTGGGGGGGGGGGAAGGAAATGTGTGACGTAAAGATTTGTTTTTGTTTTTAAATCTGCAATGTTCTAATTTTGAATGGAAAAAAAAAATCGTTAGTCAATTGATTTTAAAAACATTAATTTGAGGACGAAATTGCCTCAGGTATTATACCGTGAAACTCAGTCGCGCACACCGTCTACGCTTATCGAAAAAATGACGCACAAACTGTTGCGTGGGGTTGACTTCTTGGTTTCGCGTCACAGATTTCTAACAATACAGTATCATAACCCATTACGGGGAAATGTTAAAGAATAAAATAAAATCTTAGTTTAACTATGAAAATTGCATGTTTGTTTTGATTTTTTTCAGATGTGACGGGACACTGAAGAGAGGGGGGGGGGAGTGGTAAAGAATTTTTGACAGTCATAATTTGCGTAACCCCGAAGACAAGGTGCTCTAGTGGATACAGCATACTAGCTGGTCGTCGTTCTGTGTTTCAGACCAAATTTGAAGCATTTTTTTTTTCTAATTTAGATATACAATTGCAGCTTCGACGAGTTTTAAAACTTGGATTTACATACGCCATTCTTTTCCAACATATAAATTAATATATCAGTTGGATCTTAAAATCAATGGGGCTAAATTCCTGCCTTAATAGGTTGATTTATGGTAAATATCAATTTACAATCCTAAATAATTTAATGTATGTCCATTTTTATGTCGTATAATGGACACAAACTATCAGAAAGTGTAGACAAAATATTTTGTATTAGAACTAATATTTGAAAGTCAGTTATACCAACGGCCCAAAAGTTATTCTCCAAGTTTTCAAGCCAGTGTAATAGGATGCGATATCTAGCGGTCATGTTTAGTACAAGAAATTTACTCTTTAATAAACGAGTCCTAGCCTCAACTTTGTAATAACTGATAGCTCGAGCATCATTTTCGTAATAAATAATAGTTTTAAGCCTGCCTCTAACAGACACTTTAGTATTAAAAATTTAATCAACGCAGTTACAGTGTACGTGTTACAATTTGTAAAGCCACAATTAGTTAATTCATCTAGAAATGAAAATATTTGCGAATTACTGGTTGACACACTTTCCTTCATATAAAATAATTGGCTTTTTTTTCAGATTAAACATAATTAATTAAGACTGATGGACTTTTTATTAATTGTGTTTAAATTTCTTTTCCACAAGACAGGGTTAAGACAGAAGGCTATTGTGCAGGGTAAAGCTCAGAGCTTTTTGTAAACAAAAAATTAGAAAAACTAACATAACAAAACCTACCTGGACGACAAGAAGAGCTTCGTCTAATAAATGATGAGAAAAATGTACGGCCGACTCTTACGTCGCGTGTACGTGAGATAAAGAACACACTTGGGCTGAAGGTTACTTTCTATATTGATATCACATCGCGTGTACGTGAGATAAAGAACACACTTGGGCTGAAGGTTACTTTCTATATTGATATCACGTCTGCATTTTAATCGCAAAATAACGTTCCTTAGAAGGGGGATTTCCTAGAAAATGCCATCAAACAAAGTTTTGTCGTATCATGGGCGTATGAAGCGTAGAAATCGCGATAAGGAAAATATGGGGATTACAATTAGCCGCGTATATATTAAGTTTTTAGGTCACCAAAGTCGATATATGATAGTGATTTAAAGCTCGAAATTGTTTCACATATATTGTTAAATGTTTAGCGGTTCGGAAATACTTTTTGGTTTTGGTATTGTGCACACTTTTCAATATCTTACGGTGACACGTGTATTCAAACATTAGTTATTTGGATCTGAAACGCTACGGTTTGGGGGCACCAGGGGCGGGGGGGGGGGGGTTTTTGGGGGGGGGGGGGGGGGGGGGGGGGGGGGGGGGGGCTTTTTGGGAATCGCGACATCCTAATAATGTGATTTTGAGGGTGAGTTTCTTTACAGTTTGCTATACGTTTTTTTAAAATGTGACTGATATTAATATTTCAATAAAATTAAAAAAATTAGCAACACCTATGTTAATAAATCGCCTTCTTTTCATGTTAAAAGGTAATTTCAAGCAACTCGCTTTTCCAAGGAATACTTGCTACGACCTTGCAGAAATCTAGCACTTAGGTTATTGGTGTCTATTGGACGTCGACAGTGGAGCCACGTCCGCTCCGCGCGGTTGACCAAAATTTGGATTATTTCAAGCCAGGCAAGTTCCAACACGGTATCTTCTTTCCGAGGAAAACTACAGGCGGTATGTGCACGGCTAAGTGTCAGAAGGTCACGGATAAAATCTTGGTCATAAACAGACAGCAACTACCTGTGGTGGGGGACACAGCTGAATTAGTTTCAGTGTTTAATCTTATTTTACAAAGGTAAGACCCGTGTCTGAATTAACTTGTATTTAACCGTTTTGAATTGTTGTTTGAATTGATCTGTTCCCAATCTTTTATACACTTTTTAAAGATTTGGGTAATTAAAGAAAAAAATCAAACTATTTATTAGATAATGATGTTTTTATGTAAAAGAAAAAGGATTTATTTAAAACTAGTTTGCTTAGTAACTTTCAAGTAGGCGATGCTGCGCATAAGAATGGCGACTAAAGCATCAACCAGTTTAAATTGACTGTTATCATCGGTAATTTTGTTCTCTAAAAATACTATTTTTAACAAAACTATCAACATGATGACATAGTTTTTAATCGGCTCTCATATTTTACATAAATTTCAGTGATAGATATTCAATATAATAATTGTATATTCAATGTGAGAATAAAAATGGCATAGCAGTACTATTCTAACAATTCCAGCCACGGGTTTGTTTCTAGAGACCTTCAATCATACAACCATTAACTTGTTTGCAAGTATTCTATAAAGCAAGAGGAGGTATATATATATTAGAACTAATTGTCCTTTTTATGTAGTGAATATATCAGTTTATAATGTTTTAAACTATTGGACTTGAAAATTTTATTCACATATATTGTTAAAGAATTTTTTTTTAAAAATAACTTGTAAAAGTGGGAAAAGGGGGGGGGGAATTGACACTAAAATAATTTTTCTTTTCTTTTTTGTTTTTGTTTTGTTAAATAGAGCGCTGCACGTCTTGAAAAAACTATTTGGAAACGCTGAGTAAAAAAAAATTCATTAAGAACAACAAAGAAATACGAACAAGTTACCATGGATCATTTGGATGCCAGCAGTATTGTCAAAGATGGGCAGTTAGGAAGTGCCTCGAGGAATACGGGAAGGCAGTACGCATTGACAAAGGAATATTCCGATAAAAGAGATAAGTCAAAGACTGCCCCTATTGAAACACGATCAACTTGTTCTAAAGAGAGAGTTGGTGATACATCGGAACTTAACGCAACCCAAGGGCAACATATTACAAAATGTAGCGTTGATAAAGACTGGTCTGGCGAAAAAGTTCACAGTAAGTTTGGTCGTCAAACGTCCCATGATTACAATGGAGATGCAATTCAAGAACGATCACACGTTTCTCAAACCTCCAGAGGGTCCGATGAATACGACTTTCAAAACAGTCCATCATTTTTTCAAGTATCCGCAGATTCCATTGAATGTGATATTCAAAAGCGATCACAAATTTTTCAAACATCCCCAGTTTCAAATAGAGATGACATTCAAAAGTCTTCACGAGTCTCTCAAATTCCCGGTGTTTCCAATGAATATGATATTCAAAAGGTATCGCAATTTTCCCAAAAATTCACAGTCCCTACGAAAGATGACTTTCAAAAGGGACAATATTTTTCTAAAATGTCCAGAGATTCCAATGAAGATGATATTCAAAGGCGACCACCGCCTCCACAAACAATCGCAGTTTCCACTAAAGATGACATCGAAAAAATACCCCGAATTCCACAGACATGCAATTTTATTGTGGGAGGAACTACAGAACACACCTTACATGGAAATCGTGTAGCTGAAACATCAACGCCAGAAAAATGCGAGACCGGCAACGATGAGCTCAGTTGTGCAGCAAACATTCAACATCAAAATGCAAACCACATGGCGACGAGTTATACAGACTCAGTCAAATGTTATCCAGACTTGTATGAAAGCCCAAAAATCCACATTGAATTTGAACAAGTCCTCTCAGACTTGAGACAGTTTGATGCATACAGCAAGTCAGTTCTTGAAAGCGCACGCTTCCGTTTAGATGACATCGTAGAACGCTTGCAAAACAGTGGACAAGAAAATCAATTATTGGCGGATGTCAGCAATATGAGTACAGAGGTTTACACAAGATTGGAAGCGCTACAAAAATATTTGTCACCAAAGAGTAAAGGCCAATTTTCCGCGAAGACAGAAGACACGTCTGAACCGAAGGCGACTTTTGTCGAAGAGAAAATGGTTTGTCATTTTGTTTCACAAGAAATTAAAAGAAAAAAATTATCTGCAAAAATTCTAAACATGATTTAAATTATTGAGCTGACTTTTTTATCATTTAAAAACAAAATCACATATTATTATTAACAAATTGTTTTGTTATACCAATATTAGAGTTGATGATTTTTTAAAAATATTCTAAACAATTATATGTACAACATTTATGAAATAATAATTCATGATGCTTTATTGATGGAGTGTAACAATATTCCCAGACACGTAATTCATAACTTTTTTTATCACTATATTATGTAACAACAAAAAACCGTTAACACTTCTGATATAGTTGAAACCTTTTTATTTTAAAGAAATTACTCAAATTATGTATAAGAGTTAACCTTCAAGATTTCTATTTGTAATTCACAGGAAACTCCATTGATCGTTTCAAATGATGTTGACCTACTTTTAATTGGAAGTTCCGGGAATGGCAAGAGTGCTACTGGAAACGCCATCTTAAGAGAAAATGTCTTCCAAACTGCAGCAGGGACGTCTTCAAACGCCTCGATTTCTGCAAAGAGCAGTTCAAAATACAATGACCAAACAATTAATGTGGTGGATACTAGTGGTGTTGATACGAATGGCAAGAGCAAGCTAGAAGTCTTGGAATTGTTCCTGAAATCGATCAAAGAAGCATTAGAGCTCTGTGAATACAGTTTTACAGCACTGCTCATCGTCATCAAATTTGGTGCAAGATTTACTCAGCACGAGAAAGAAACTATTAAAATTATCCGTGGCGTCCTCGGCAATGACGTCATTCAGAAATACGGCGTGTGTGTTGTTACTCATGGTGATAACTTTGAGTATGAGATGGCAGAAGTGGAAGAGAAGGCTAATATCCTGACCTTTGAGGAGTGGTGCCGTGCACAAGAAGGAGAAATAGGAGACATATTTAAGGAATGCAGCTTCAGATGTGTCTTGTTCAACAACAGATCCAAAGACGCAACCAAACGAAATGATCAACTTGAAAAACTACTTTCATTAATGAGTAACAAAGAAAAATACACAAGAGATCAGTTTCTGAAAGCAGATGAAGGTCTGTCGAAATTGACCCAGGAACTCTTCCTCCCTGAAGTAATACAAAACACTAATAAAATGGTCAACGACATGCGATCTAAAATGGTGACCATGAAGTTCAGTTTTGATTCTAAAAATGACAATGAAAAGGCGAATGAAATGCTAAGAGATGTGAATGATTACAAAGAATATATCCTAGCTGCTGGATGGGAGGATTCGGTACAATCAAAAATACTTGGTGTTATTGAACCTCTAGAACTGGAGATAAACTCAAAGCTGAGGCTGTGCAGCGCCAGTGTAAGCGATGGAAGGCAAGCTCATACTAGAAAACCGTTTTTAAAGTCTGTCTCTTTAGATGAGGCTCATTTCAGTATGAAGCATGATTTAGTCATGAAGACGACTGCCTTTGACCGTAAAAAGGTGAAATTTTACTCGCCGTCTGAAACTAACGCATTAAAGAAGACTATTAAGATAAAGCTAGATAATTTGAAACATCTCTCGAGATCTTTGACAGGTTCCACTGCCAGTGAAGAAAATCCGTTTAATCTGAAAATAAAACGGCTAAAAGAGGAATATTCTGAATTTTTGAATTCACCCGATGGGTCTGGAATGCTTGAAGAAATTACACAATTTCAGTTTTTTAAACAACAACCATGTAGATCAACGCATCAAAAAGAAACTTTGAAATGGGATGAAGTGCAAGGAACATTAAATACCTTGAAATATATCTGGTCTTTTATTTGGAATTCTAGCCGTTAAATTACTGGTCCTTTTAACTGTGATTCAATTGAGTGATTTCTAATTCACTTGTTTTTTATTGAAAATTTAAGACAGGGGTATTGATGGATAGGCCATGGTGTAATATATGTATAAATAAATAAATACTTAAGTTGACCAGGCAATCGCATCTTTAAAAAAAAAAAATCAGAGTTTGACAGCTATTTTTTCCCCCTAACAAATTAAAGCTTATGCATCAAACAGCTAGGGAAAATGTATAACCTAGGTATGAATATGGCCTGATAGTGCTGTAGTTTTTATTGTGTGTGTTTGTTTTAGGATTGTTTTTTTTTTTTTTTTTCAAAGTTTAAAAATTAGACCTAAATAACGAATCTAAAAATTGTGCAGTACTTATATGTATAGATTTACGTTAAAAATTACAAAGTATGTTCAACCTTTTCTCTTGTTGAAGCTATTAAAACTTCATGTTTAAACGTCTTATATATTTTATAGTTTCATTATATTGGGAATTTGTTAAATGAAGTTCCAATTATAAACGTATTTAAACATTATAAATGGAGTTGATTATTAGAGGAGGTTAAAATCATGCTGGAAGGCAATGTTCACTCTAAGGTTTGTTGGTTCGTGTGCAAAATCTTGCAGTTGTGTGCAAAGTTGTACAGCATCACTTTTTTTTGTGTGCAAAATTGTACAGCCCACAAAAACAAACACACATGGAAATGTGCTTCGTGGATACTCAAAACTGCTGCGCTGTGTCTGTGAGATAGCTGCGCGGCCGCGCAGCTGCGCAGCTTAAAGGGAACATTGCTGGCAGGTCAGTCCCTCGTTCTCCAAATCTGAATAGTTTGACAGTGTCATAATGACGCCTGAGACATGCTCACGGGGAGAGTAAAGCTGTCAGTGTGTAATGACTATAATTAACGTTAGGTCCTTGCAAATTTATTATTTTTTTATTGGAATTCAATGGGTTTTAAACAACTTCTTTTGATTACACTCATTATATTTATGTCCATTTTTAAGAAAAAAAACTGGTCTCTAGTTGGCTTCCGGGGAACAAATCCACCATTGCCTGAGACAGCGTTGGCAGAGAAACGGCATGGATGGTGTCCGCCGAAAATGGTAACATCTACAGGGCTACCAGCCAGTGGCGTAACTAGGGTCGGTATCACCCGATGCGGTAAACTGAAGGTGTCATCCCCCTCCCCGGAATTCCAAGATGGATTTGTTATTGTTAAAATAAGCCCACAGTATAACAATGACACAAATAAAAACAAATTAATTAAAGGTCAAGAGGTAAATGTATTTAAGAATTGTATTTAAAATTTGTAAGCAGCCAGAATGATCAATACATTGATCGTGGGCCCTCAAATATATAGAATTAGAAGTAGTAACAACGTTAAGCTATAATTATTTTTACATTAAATTTACTTTATTAAAAATTTTCCCTTCCTAGACTCCAAAACTGCAGATCTGTCAATCATTTGATCAAATTGAATATCATTCTCCGTGTCACTGTTAACTGATGGTAGAGCTAGATCAGAAAGCCTTTACTAACCCATCTCGGATCGTAAATAGGTCTTGATAAGCCTTAGTTTTGAAAAGTTCCTCTAACATGAAGCCACAGACACACAGATCGTAAGACAATTGAAGGCTTAGCGAGAGAATTGTTAGAGATCTAGGAAGTCCCATTCAGCTATGAATTTAAAAACATCAAATGCTGACTTGTCTTTGAATTTGTGAAATTCAATATCAGCGGCCTTTAGTGTCTTCTAAATCTACACATTCCTTTTAAAAATTCATCCTCTGATAACTCATCTAGAAAGAGGTTAATTTTGGAACAGACACAAATAAATCTTCTTCACTTGACTTGCTGATAGTAGACTCTTGGGTTGAGCAGAATAAAACACACTTCGTTGATCACTGGTAATCTGATCTGAAATTCAGAATGAAAGCGAGCAATGCACACCCGCATCTCATTTCTTGCAGAAAGAGTCCATCATCTATTAATTATTTATTAGCCTTCTCTTCTTAAACATATGTGTTCTCTCTACCTAATTTCCATATAGTTCTGATTTTAAAAGTACATTTTCAATAGCATGTTCCACATAGTGAGAGCGCTTCTCGTGCAGAAACAATCTTATTAAGGCCCATAGGTTGGTCACCACTTTGTAAAGATTAAAGCCTTTAGTCTGCAGATACTGCTGTGTAAGACTAACTTCCCCGAGTACCACATACCAAAGATAAAGGTAGGAGATAAACGTGAAAGCACACACAGCATGTAAAACACTTTGTGTTGATGACAATCGTGCTTGCATGTTAAGAGGTGGTGCTAGTGACGAATCGGCGAAAATATTTATTTTTCAATATTTCTGGCTTTCGATAGATTTGGTTTCAAAAACATTTTTAAAAAAAATTAAATAAATTTAAATTAATTATTAAAAGTGATTTGAAAGTTTTGTAAAATATTATTTTATTGACCCTAAAAATGGGTACAAATTCATTATTAATGTTTTAAACATTTACCGATTCGATTTATTTACTTAGAAGCGTCTGACCATATCATATTTGGATTCAGTTGAAATCTTTATTTCTCAGAGTTTAGATAATATTGCTTTCTGTCATAAATGAAAGTTACCGACACTTCAATCAGCGTTGAATAATGGTCAAAAAGGTGTTTCTGACGCATCATCGGGATTAGTTACATGTGTGGTTCTTCTTTTATGAAATTCCCTTACTCCGAGCGGTGTGAGCTCTGTAAATATGCAATTTTTATATTAGGTGTCATCCCCTGGGATGGTGTCCACCATCGTGGTCCGCAACCCCTAGCTACCTCAATAGTGAAACCCATAAATGGGTAGAAAGTCATTTTTAAACGGTGCTTTTCTTACCTGTTTGTAGTGATACCTCATTTTTGACGTAACAACATATAACTTTTCATAAAGGACGCATTGGGTTTGGTTACATATGTGGAGAATTTCTGTGTGATTGGTTATTCTTTTATGAACATCGGTTTGACCGCGCTGTGTGCTATGTAAATATGCAATTTTTCATTTGGGTGTCACCCCCTGCGATGGTGACACCCTGTGTGGTCTGCATTCCCCGCAACCCCTTGCTACGCCACTGCTACCAGCTTTGGCGAATCTGCAGTTGGAATTAAATTAAAAAAGGCAGAAACTGGGTAGGGATCATGATTATATGTTGCCATTAATGGATAGGAGACATACGTTGGATGGTGGCAACCTTATGCCAATGATTCTGTTTAGACGTAAATTAAGGGAGCTGTTCCTGACAACCATTTCGTCCCAGCTGCTTTGTAAATTAATTTTTAAGGAAGACACCCTATTAGCTTTTATCTGACGCTTCCGCAAGATTGGAATGGGGAAGATCTTAGGACGTAAAACTACCATCACGACTCCTGCAGAAAATCGACTGCTGAGGCTGTGATAACCAGTGCCTGACCAGTATCTGGAGCTGACCATGAACAACATTCAAACCATTTGAAAAGAATACTGGTTGTGTTCCCGTACATGGAGGGAGAAACCCTTAGAGCAGTGCTTATCCTAATGCTGCGACCATTTCATAAACTTTCAAATGAGTGGTGACCCTTAACGATAAAATTATGTTCGTTGCTACTTAATAAATATGTGTTTTGCGATGGTCTTAGGTGACCCCTGTTTAAGTGTTTTTCGACCCTCATTAATTGAGAACCGCTGCCTTAGAGATGACAAGAATATTGCAAAGTCGGGTGATTAGCTTTATGTGGCCTTTTCTTACGAAAATTTACGGCCCTCCAATAACTAGTAGTAACAGTAATCAAAGAAAAGTACTATTAAAATTCATATTTATTCCAGGAACTTGGAATTGTGTTAAGACTCTTTATATTACTGTGAAGATTTGATAGTGTTAGCCCATTAATGAATTTTTCGCATGCAGATGGTCTGTCTTTATTTATTTTTTGCGATGTAATAAAGTATCTATAAATAAAGCACATATTGTTTTTATTCTAGCCAGTAGTGCGTCAAAAAGGTTCGTGTGTAAAAATGAAACGTTTGAAAATTCCCCTTAGACCATGGGTTTGTTTGAATCCAAACACCAAAGGCGCGATACAAGTAGTCACACTGAATTTAGATAGCAAATAATTAACATAAAAATAGTTCGTAGTAAAAAGTGTCTATATATAAACATCTTCTGTCTGTCGTTGTCTCTGTCCTTAGTGGGGCACACTCCTGTCATTAGCAAACTATGATGTTTCAAAAATAAAAGGGGCTCTATGTTTTATTTTTTTCATGAACAATGTATTACGTCACAGTTATCAACATTTCTTCCCACTTCTTCCCCCTACGCAAAACAAAAACACGTGTCCTTAGATTTGCCAATAGACACAGTATGTCGAATCAGCGGCGTCACTGCTAACCATGAGCGGCCGCCGGGGGGCAAGGCGGGCACTTGCCCCCCGCCCCCCCTGATTGATCTGATAAAAATGTTTTAGACAAAAATAGACACAACATTTATTAAAGTAAAGATACAAGAAAGAGAATGTAACTAAGCTGATGTCCTGTCCGTTCATTCACCATACACTACAGTAAATTAAAACTTTATTAAAACATTACAAAAAAAAAATTTGCCCCCCCCCCCCTGGAAATTTAATCGATTTTTTTGCCCCCCTCCCCCTAGAAAGTTTTCTGCGGGCGCCCATTCTGCTGCCCGAATATATATATACATACTCAATCTTGTCTGAAGTATACAAAGAAGGGGGAAAACCTCTGTCTGAAAGGCTTCACTAGCTGTTCATACGTATGTGGCAGCAAGAGATCATTCCACAAGACTTTAAAGATGCATCTATTGTTCACCTGTACAAGCGTGAAGGAAACCGTCAATCATGCCACAACCACCATGGCATATCACTGCTCTTAATTGCAGGCAAGATATTAGCCAGTATCCTGTTAAATCTTCATAACAGGCATCTTGAAATCGGTTTTTTGCCAGAAAGTCAATGTGGCTTCCGGAAGGAACGAGGAACCATCGATTATGGTGTTTGTGGCCAGATAGCTACAGGAAAAGTGCAGGGAACAAAATTTTGAACTCATCTCTACTTGTTTAGACATGACCAAAGTTTTCAACACTGTCAGTAGCGAGGGCCTTTGGAAGATCATGGCCAAATATGGATTCCCCAGAAAGTTCGTGTCAAGGGCACGACTATTCCATGAAGGCAGGCAGGCTAGAGTTCGGGATAATGGAGAGACGTAAAACCATTCCTTGTAACAAACGGCGTGAAACAAGGATGTGTTCTTTCCCCAAAACTTTTCAGCCTCATGTTTTCCGCAATGCTGACAGATGCATTCAGAGAGGGAGACGCTGTAATTGGCCTCAGATACCGAACTGACAGTAATCTATTTAACCCCAAGAGGCTACATGCCAAAACGAAGGTCCTGACAGACACCGTCAGGGACCTGCTGTATGCGAGAGCCAGTGCAAACTATTGAAAGATTACTGAGAACGTATGAACTAGGAAAGGTATCAACTCTCAAACAACTGAAGGGATATCAGGTGGCTTCTCTAGCCCTGTGAAACGTGGATGGTCTACCAATGACATGCAAGAATGCTGAACAACTTTCATACAACAAGACTCAGAAAAATCCTCAACATTAAATGGCAGGACAGGGTACCAGACACTGAGGTGCTCACACGGGCAGGTCTCCCCAGAATCTTCACAATCTTGATGAAATCCCAGGTTCGCTGGGAAGGACATGTGGTGAGAATGTCAGATGACCGCCTTCCCAAAATAATTTTCTATGGTGTTTTTGAACAAGGAAAGCGGTCTGCTGGCGGACAGAAAAAACGCTTTAAAGACAACATAAAAGCCTCACTGAAAGTGTTCAACCTAAACCCAGACACGTGGGAAGAACAATCAAAGGATCGCACTTCATGGTGTTCTACTTTGCACGGGGGCTCCATACAACATGAGGTTGGCAGAACAGCGGCTGCAGAGCAAACGAGACATGCAAGGAAGGCCGGTCTGACTCTGCTCCCAGAGATGCGCCATCATTTCCCTGCACCTACTGCACAAGAGAATTTCGTGCAAGGATCGGCCTCATTAGCCATCTGCGCACCGACAGAGAGAACCAGCACATACTCTGATGATTAAAGTGGTCATGGTCGATATCCGACTGACGAACAACCAATAGATATATAGTTTAACTAAATTAGAATATATATATTGTATAAGCAAATTCTTATTTAGATATATATTTATATGTATATTTATTTATTTATATATAATATATATATATATTTATAAGAATTTGCTTATACAATATATTTATTCTTAATTTAGTTAAACTAATATGGAAAAAAAAAGACTATACATTTTCATATTTAAAAAGTCGTAAATTCATAAAATTGTCTACATTGCAAATAAACGGTAGCGCCCACATTCTAGTGCGTCAAAAGTGAATGTATTGTCAGTAAAACTTTTAAAGTAAGCTACTACAGTGGGTGGAAAAGGGGCGAGTGAGAATAACTTGGCTACACTCTGCAGGGCTACACTATGAGTTTAACCTGTCCCATTGCAATACGCCATATTGACCTAAATAACTTAACAAGCAGTAGCGTCATCGGCTATAGCGAGAAATAACATTTTCTAGGGAAATTATTGGCGTCTACTGAACAAATCGTTACAGCCATGCATACATACCCAGAGACTTATTAATTTGTAATTACAGAATTTCGCTCAAATTTATCAAATGAGCTTAACATAACGATTGTCCAACCCATTTAAAATAAACTAGTTTCTTTTCCTCATGGTGCAGCATTGAAATATGGCCTTTAAAAATAATATCTACATTGCCCTTGTGATATTCCTTTATGTACGTATTATGATTCTTCTAATATTTTTTAAAACGAATAGCAATAGATAACATCAAATGACTAAATTTGAGAAAATGATATATTTCTTTTCTTTGTGTATGTTTCGTGGTGCCTCGCATTGTCATGCTGCTGTAAAGTTTCGTTTTTTATAAGAAAATGATTTGTCAGAACCACAGTTGTTATTCCAGGAAACAGACTACGGTGATTTCGGGGAAATTATAATTTAAAAAAAAAAATAATCCAATCTTCAAATCAGCACGAAGGTATCGCCAGCTTCAACTCACACACATGGTTACCTAGTTTATTGTGTTCTGCTTTATCTCCTGTTTCAGCACTGTCTCTCTTTCTTTAGGGAAGTTGTACGAGCTTGCAAGTTACGCAGAAGTTTAGACGTTTTTTTCTCTAACGTCAAATAAAGCCTATCCCAGAACAGGGGCGCAAAGAGGGTTTGGAAAATATAATTCGTTTAAAAGGTAATTTTAAATTATACTACATTTTATTTTGTGGTTGTTTTGGGCGATACATTTTCATTGTTGACAAAGTTCATTTTTTAAATTTAAAATAAAAATGTAATTACATGTCGAGATCTTTTAATATACCCTTTACAATGATATCGCCATAGTGATACTTATTACAATGCTCATTTTTCGCTAGCCTTATCTGCCTTTATCATATCAGAACAAATAAAGCTATAGTTCTCATTACTTGATTTTCTTATATTTAAAAGTAAAATTTTAAAAAACTCTACTAACACCAATCAACAATCCAAACAGCACACAGCTACATTGATAATATTATTTAAATTCCCATTTCATTTATTGTTACAATATAAAGTTTACTTTTATTTAAACAACTATTTATCTCATCTATAATTCAGCTCAAACAAAAAAACAAAAAATAAATAAATAAAAAGAAACAGTTCTACTTTTGGAGGGAAACGGAAGAATCACTTTTTTTTTTTTTTAAAATAACAACCCTACTATGGAAAATTTAAACCAATCTACACAACACACCAACAAGGAAGCTCAACATGATGTGCATGTTGGCAGCCACGAAGATTGCGAGACGTTGCAGGGTGCAACCCTTGAGATTCTTAATGCGTCGAAGAATTTGAAACATGTATTTGAAACTTCGGCGACCAGACTGAAGGAGCTCCTGGAGAAGAACACAGAGTTGCCCGAGACATGGGCTCACGCCAACGCTGTTTTGATACGGGCGACCTCACGTGAACAGACGAAGCTGTTAAATGAATTAATCGAAAGCTTAGAAAAGTGTAACAATAAGGCAGATGAAGGGCACAAAGGACTACTGCAACTCCACTCGGTAGGTTTCATTGACTTATATATGATTAACAAAATGTGTGCTTTTCAGTAGAGGGATCGTTGATATAACTTAAACATTTATTTAAATAAAAAGCTGAATCAGTATTAAAACTCATGGACTTGAGTCAAAACTCAACATAAGTGAAACAATTTTAAACTTATAATAGTCCAATAATAAATACCAAAATGATAAAATTGAAAGTGTGCTGACTTCTTAAAGACTAATTTTTTAAAAAAATTTTGCAACCCATAAGTACTTTAATTATATTTAAATTTTTTTAAAGAGTGCAGAATTGATAAACCCAAAGATGATTGACCTTCTAATGATTGGCAGTGCTGGAAATGGCAAAAGTGCAACCGGAAATTCCATTCTCGGGACAGTAGCTTTTCAAGCAACAGCAGGTATGTCTGCCACACGAACGTCCCCCATAAAGGCCACTGCAAAATTTGAAGATCTTACCGTCACTGTCGTGGACACGCCTGGCGTTGATACAAATGGCAAGAGCAAGTTGGAAGTGTTAGAAATGTCACTCAATTCCATCAGAGCATCTCTTGAGCTTTGCAACTACAGTTTTACAGCACTGCTCATTGTCATCAAATTCGGAGCCAGATTTACTCAACACGAGAGTGACACTATCAAAATTATCCGTGGCGTCCTCGGCAATGACGTCATTCAGAAATATGGCGTGTGTGTTGTTACTCACGGTGATAACTTCGAGTTTGAGATAGAAGAAGAGAAAGTGAATGGAACCGCCATGACATTTGAGGAGTGGTGTCGAGAACAAGTAGGAGAAATAGGAGATATCTTTAAGGAATGCAACTTCAGATGTGTCTTGTTCAACAACAGAACCAAAGACGAAACCAAGCTGAAAAGTCAAGTTGAGAATCTTATATCTTTCTTAAAAAGAGATCAGAAATACTCAGAAATTGATTTCGTCATGGCTGAAGAAGGTCTTTCTAAATTGACACAGGATCTCTTCTTACCCGAAGTTCTTCTACAAGCAAATGAATTTGTTAACAAAATTAGATCGGAGCTCGTTAAACATTCTAATTCAAAAGATCAAACTCAAAAGCTGGAACAAATTCTAGGGGAGCTACTCGAGCGCAAACATTTGATGAAATCTGGGAACTGGGAAACATCAGCACAAGATCTATTTTTTAAAGTTATTGAGCCTTTAGAGATGGAACTGAAATCAAAGTTAAAGTTACTTTGTCTTACCCCGGAGAAAAAATGTTTTAATGGCAGTACTGTTAATGTCGAGACAAAGGAACCGACAGCCGCACCAAATTTCAAAAGCGATTCTTTGGGAATTCAAAATAAACCGACCATAGAGAAGACGGTATTTGATGGGAAACCTATTTTAGCGTCTAGAGAGCCAAATTGTACAACGGAGTTGGCTAAAATCCGGAAAGAGGTGGAAAAAATAAAGCAGAAACGTGAAGATCCCGCCACGTTGGAAAAATTGAAATCACAAATAAGTTCTTTGAAAGAAAGACATAAACACTTTTTACAATCGGATTCAGGAAAGGAAAGTAAGATGGAAATATATCGAATTCAAACGGAAATAGCGGATTATCAGACCACTTTCATCCAAAATACGAAAAAGTCACGTTTTACCAAAGCTGTATCTTGGCTGGGAACTTTCATTCGATCACTTTCTACAGAGACTGGTTCTTATGACTTGACTTAATATTTTCCCTCAGTCTAACATTCAAATTGAAACAACACTTTATTCTTCTTTGTATGGATTCCTAGTGGAGAGGAGAGGACATTTCTTCTTTTCCATCTTACTGCTATTCAATATGTCAAATGTATTATTTGTAACTTATCTAAGATTTGCATATTTCACCCCTATTTTTTATGCTTTTCTCTCTGTAAGCATTTCTTGAAAAAGAAATAATTAAGTTAAATTATTAACGGCCTTAGTGTGAAAACTCTATATACAAAAAAGGTGTCCGTACGCAGGTAGAAACTCGCTTTATTTGTAATCGAAAGTCCATTGACGTTAAACTAGTTATTAATTTGTAGATAAATAATGCTATAAATACTGAGTGTTGTCAAATAAAAAGTTTGGTTAAAATTTTTATAAACTTTTGTTTTCTTGTTTCGGTCATCCAATGGACCAATGAATGTTTTACAAAATTACGAAGATTAAATGCACTTTTCCTGTTATATTTTCGATGACGAATGCTAGTGAATGACTTAATATGAATGACTGAATAATTTAATTTTAGACAATCAGGGACTGGAACAAGAGTTTAAAAAAATAGCCTTTGAGGCGACAACACTTGACACATTTGCGTCTATTGTCTCATTCCTTCCAACCCAAAGTTCCTGATAGCCTCGCTGAGTAGCCCTTGCAACCAGTGAAAAGTATTCTCTTTAATACCAGGCACATAAACATCACGAAAACCCTCTACGTAAAAAGAAGCCAGAATGATCAACACATTGATCGTTGGACCTTAAGCTATAGAAGAAGAACTTATATAGTTTTTTTTGTTAGAATAATGTTTTTAAACAAATCACAAAAATAATTAACTAATGAATTTTCAAACAAGTTAAAACATATATTTTCCAAGATAAAATTATGTCATTTTCCTTGTTCAACTCCACGCATGGCCAAGAGCAAACGTTTACACTTTCACACGCGTATCTGTATGACAGAACTTTTCGATTACCACTCACCAGACCACAATCAATTTTTTACAACACATAATTGTATTATATAACAGCATAAATAAATAAATGTTAAATGCACACATACACTATCACAATTAATAACTAGTTTCCTTTATTGTTATTCTCCGTTAATAACTTACAATAGTTTCAAAGCCGTTGAAGAAACTATCACACAGTGTTTTTTACATTTAAAAAAAATAATATAATGCAAAATTATCATGAAATATAAGGGGATTAAAAGAAAACAAAATCTCTTAAAAGGCAATTCTATAACAATACTAGTAAAAACTGCAAAATGTTGGCGTGACCAACGCATCAACTTTCCATCAACTAAAGTTTCTTGACGAAACAAGCTTTCAAGAAACCCATTGACTTAGGATCCTTATTAGTGCCGATTCCCCTCCCTTCCTTACATGCACACATTATGTTCAATAAGGTATTTACAGCACACTTTTCATTATGGCCCTCAAAATGTATTGATATTCTAATTTCGCACACAGTTTTATATAGGATATTTATTACACAATATTTAAATTGAAACAACAAATCGTACAACAAGGGAATAAATCACATTGCAAACGCATCTCTGATATTTTTAAGAATCCTATTTAGTGCAATTATATGGAATTTTATATTACACGCTTCTTCACTGATAATTACACTTTAAGTTCTTTCATACTTAGAGAATTATTTTTTATTAATGTTTCAGTGCACTGGTTGATAGAAAAAAAGCTTCATTTTATAAATATTTAATCATCTAAGTATACGACTGTTTGTCCATATGAAAAACGTTCTTAAATGTCAAGTGACGAACTCAAGGAGAGACCTAATGTAACATCATTCGTTGCTCTCTTTAAAAGGCTCCAAATAGCATTTATCTGTCTCTGTCATTTTATTGTCAAATCTTAAGTTAAGTTAATAGCTCTAGTGACTAAATTGTTGTTGGCTATTTGTATTTTATCACCCAGATAGTCAGTTCCCTTGTCATCTTCCAAAATAATACGTATTTTGATAGCCCCTTCCAGAAGATCCCCTCAATAGGAAAGTCTTTCTTATGTGTTAAATAAAGAATCTGTATACTAAAACTGATTTCAATAAATGAATGTTTCGTCACGTTCTGTCATTCCTTCTCCCGTTTTTCTCTTTCTTTACCCATCTTCTCTGTTAAGTCTCATCATTTCTTTTCTAGTTGTCTTAGCACCTTACTCCTACGCTCGTCTTCAAGCGTGTGCTTGATAAGTCCCTGCTCGCATTCCTCTATTTGCCCTGCTAGTTTTGCCATAATCGCCTGCGTTTTCTCTTTCTCCCTCTCTTGGATGACTATTTGTGAAATCTTAATCTCATCAGCAATAGTGACTTGAACGGATTTTGTTGTATGTATTATGTCATGGAGTGCGCCAGTTTCTTTGTCTTGAACCTGAATGTTGTCATATAAATTCTTTGCTCGTTGCTGAAGATCATCAAAATAGGAACGTTTGTCTTTTTGATCCACATTCTCATGTGTCCATTGAAGTTTCTGTAAAATTAAACTTATTTCATACATTGTTTCCTCGCATACCCTTGGCTCCTTGGCTTCCACCATCAACTTCTCGCGAGCTTCTCTGGCTTTTTGAAAATTTTCATCGGTGTAACGAAGACCTCTCAATCGCAGTTTGTCCACCATTTCAATGAGATCTGTCAGTTGCTTCATTTTCTTCGCTTCAACTTCCGTCCTGTTATCAAATAATATAACTCTATGACAACATTCTTCAAGCAGTTCTTTAAACACTCCAGTTTGTTCCTTGCACCACTCTCCAAATGTTAAGCCGTTGTCTTCAGACTCAAAACGGTCGCCATTCGTTAGAACTAAAATACAAAAATTTTTAACGAAATTCTCTCCGAAGATTCGTTTTAAAAATGTCACGGTGTCCTGGTCTTTATCTGTAAACCTTCCTCCATATTCGGTCACCAAAAGAAATGCATGATATCCACGTGGGTTGGTTGTAATTGCAAACTCCATGGCTTTGATTACTAAAATCTTTGAATGCTCATCGTCTAAGCAAGTGTACCCCACACCTGGTCCGTCAAAAACTTTTATGACGAAGTTGTTAAAATTACTCACATGGTAGTCAACCTTTTTGGTAACTGATTCTTGAGAACTTTTGCTGAGGAAAGCCTTTCTACGCAGGATCGTGTTACCAAGAGCGCTTCTCCCATTGCTTGTCTTCCCAATTAAAAGAAGATCTATGTCTATGGGCAATTCCATTTTTTACACCTGTGAATGGAAATAGAACCACGCATAAGTTAAGCAAATCTTTAAATAAACAAAAAATTATTCTTGTTTGCCGAACGTTCATTTTGAAAAACAAAATTGCAATCACTAATTACAAAAAAATAATGAATGTCAAGTAACTGCATAAACAGCCTGAGAGCAAGAATTACTTTTACTGCGTCAAATGTTTAAATTTTTCGTCAAAGTTCTAGAAACTGTTTATTTGATTAAAATATTACCATTAGTTCATTTTTGTTTGCGAGCCTTGCTGAAGCCAAGCTACCACAACTATAATCTTATACAACATAAATTTACTTTTTATCAGAAATATTCCTTTTCATGGATTATAAATTGGTGAGCTCTCATGGTAATACATACTACTTTAACTAAGCTACATTTTTTTTTATTGCACCATCAGTTCGGCCCCTGAGTTTACTGTATCTTCTTACCAGTCCTTCTCACAGAAATTTCGCCAACCCACTATGTTCCGGTTGTCTTTTTTATTCTTTCACATAATGACGATAATTTTTTAGTGAAAAGCACTTCTTTATATGTTTCATTACATTTGACTTAATTACTTTGTAGGACTGACTCACTAGTGGTTTCAAAAAGTATTTGATTCTTTGAGTCCCTTAAGTCTAGCGGTCTTCCTATGTTAAGTTCTAATAAGTACAATTTTTTTTTAAAATGGTGACAACCTTTCTTTAAAAAGGGTTGTGTGGAAAAAAATGGAAACAAAAAACCACACACTTAATTTGGTTACCAAGCTCTCTCTCATAACAATTTTAAAGAGCTCTTGCAGAAGTTACTAAGGTGAGTGTCTGGATTAAACCAGGTCCGGTACTTTGAAGGATCCTGTTTTGGATGTTGTAACATATTATTTTTAAAAAAAACAACTAATTTAATATTTAACGACTGATCAGGCTGACGCAGTGCATCTTTTAGGAACCACTTGCTTGCGCCAAACTTACAGTGATCAAGCTCCATTGCACATTTTTACACGCTTGCTGTGATGTCATCATTGTCTCTGATTAACTTGCATTTATTGTTTTAATGTATTTGGTAAATACGTTAAACGTTATATAATATTCACATTTCTAGTTTCAACAGACATTTTCCAACTGTAATACACAGACTCAGACCCGCAAGGAATCTCCATATACCCGCATACACAGGCACAAAAAGAAACAACTAAAACTGGCACAGCCCTGTCACAAATTGTATTTTTTTTTCAAAATGTTATTTGTAATACATTAAAGCTCATAATGATCAGCAAAGAAGTGAGAACTTAAGAGTCAAGATGAATAAGTAAATTAAAAACAAAACATTTTGATGTAAAAATGAAGAAGGGGGTTATTGTTTTTAAAAAAAAATCTTTTCCTTGGTTGGAACTTTTTAGGTTTTTTTTTTGCAAATTCAACGTTATAACATGATATAGTAACACTCAGTCTTATTACAAAATTATAAAGACAAAAAAAACAAACAAAAACTAAATAACGTACCTGTGGGGCTAAATAATTTGCAATTGCTTTTTACTTCGAGTATAACGTAGAATTTATAGATTTAAGGTTACCTTCTCTGTTGAAGACCCAGAAGTGCTGTCTCAACAAATTTCGAAGAAATTGAATTTCCTTGAAAACTACAGCCAAAAAAATAATGAACGGTTTCAAAGGGGACGTATAAAAAAGTCGCGTTACTAGTTTTTATAGGGCTAAGAGACCATACAAAAAGTGACTAAAATGTATTAACAAATAGTAATTTCTTTAATACTATTGGATCTCATACATACTTCAATGCATACAAAATTAACGCACGATTTTAAAACGTTATTTCTATGTGGCAAGGGCACCGAAGGGCTAGGGTGTGTTTGCAGGTTATCTTCAGGAACTGACATGATTTGTTGGCCCGCGCCTTTCACATTCTTTTTGACTTACTGTTCGACATAACAGGCTCAGACCAAATAGATCAATGAAGATATTTTCCTCAGGAATCATAACCACAATAAAGAATATAAAATGAACTCAGGCTTTTAAAACATTATTTCAATGAGGCCAGGACACCGCAGGGTGAGGGTGTCTTTGCAGAACCGTCGTGTGGGTCCAGCAATCCCTGCGGCTGCAATGAGCTTAGGATATTGAATGGGTTAAAAGTTGTGTGCTGGAAAAAAGTAATAGAAAGTATTGAAAAGCTAAATAACAAAAAAACGAAATGTTGCAGGGGGGGGGGGTGGGGGGATCCAAAAGTCACATAAGGTCTCTAGGTTTTACCTATGTAATAATTATTTTCTATCCCTTTTCCATACAGCTATTTATTATTTATTTTGTTCTTAAACCAGTGCTCAAAATCTCATTTAGCTACGCAACTGCTAAAAGTAAATTTTCTTCTTCGTTTGACTTTTATTTTCCAAAGGATTCATTTACTTCAGAAACTGATATGATTTGTTGGCCCACACCGTTCGCATCAATGTGTACTGACTTGTCCATATAACAGGTCGAGACCAAACAGCATTGGTTCCCAAACGTTTAAGTTTAGCGGACTGGTGAACGGAGGAAATATCTTTAACCTGCAAACACACCCTAGCCCTTCTGTGCCCTTGCCACATAGAAATAACGTTTTAAAATCGTGCGTTAATTTTGTATGCATTGAAGTATGTATGAGATCTAATAGTATTAAAGAAATTACTATTTATTAATACATTTTAGTCACTTTTTGTATGGTCTCTTAGCTCTATAAAAACTAGTAACGCGACTTTTTTATAAGTCCCCTTTGAAACCGTTCATTCCATTTTTAAATTATTTTTTTATGCTGTAGTTTTTCAGGAACAAGTTTATAAATTTTACCACGTACCGGTGCATGATTTATTTTATACTTTTATTTCCATTTGAAAATAAATATTTATGTTATGGGTACCGGCAGCGTTAGGCATGCGGACAGGTGAAGGTCCACAGACCGCCATTTGGTGACCACTGAAATAGATCACTGAAGATATTTTCGAGGGAAACAATTGAAACCCTTACCAGGCTGAAGGTCAGATAGTATCATCTCGATATTTCCATATTACAAAGAAAGCAATTATAAAAAGCGGTTGATTAACCCGACATAATGGAAATACATATTTCAATGTTAATAATTGTTTGTTTAATAATCATGTTATATGGATTTTAAAAAAAAATAATTTTTATTTTCTATTGCTAATGAAACGTACTTTGTCAACAACAAAAACTCAAATTCTCAATTCAAAATCAAACAAAACATTACAATGGAAATTAGTCAATAGATGCATGTGCGACAATTGCGACGACTACATAGTTTGGAATTTGTTTTAATTTCAACACATATCATTTTAACAGGAAGAAATATAATTTACTACTTTAAAAAAAAAAAACGTTATAAGATTAAATTAATAAAAATGAGTACATTAGTTTTCTCATTTACCTTAGTACAAAATGTCTTCCCAAAATAATCTGAAAAAAGTCATTTTAAAAAAAAAGGTAAAACAAGAGAATATGAAACAATAATATAACATGGTTCATTTGGGTGTTGCTGTTGTTGTTAGTCATTCGCATGCAAAGATGCCCAGGCTATAAATCACGCTGTGTACGCAGGTGGCCGGCCAGTCCCATGTGTGTCTGGAAAGCTGCCCTGCACGTGGGACACATATTCTTTAGGTCCTAGTCAGATTTGAGTCGAGTCATAGTTTTATTAACGTGCGCATTCTTAGGGCATTGGCGGTGCACTTATTCTCTGAGGATTTTGCTCCAACAATGAGTCTGTCACGCCAACTTGCATGGTCCATGGCAAGTGTCTGCCACGAATCAAGGTCAATTTCCATGGATCTGAGTGAATCTTTAAGACATTACTTGAAGCATTCTTACTGTCCACCAACTAGACATTTACCTCTGGAGAGTTCACCAAATACGAGTTTCTTTTAGAAAGTTCACTGTCTGGCGACATGCCCTGCCCATTCGGCTTGTTTTTTTTTTCTTTTTTTTTTCTTTTTTTTTTGGGGGGGGGGGAGTTTGTGTAGGAGCTTGTGAATGCTGAAACTATCAGCCAATTGTTGGGCTTTGTGCCAGGAACTCTGTCCTGGCATCTTCTGAAAAGACGTTTTCGTACTCATCGTATGTGGAGATCATTAGCGGTCTAAAACGTCTGCTATACACATGACATGTCTCGCTAGCTCTATTGTCTTTGACATCTAGAGTCTGCTGCATACATATTTGAATTTTCACTTCTCGGAGATTCTGTGTATTCGTTAATATTTTAGGTTCTATAAAGCTTTACCCGATGCTGAATGATGATCTCTGTTTTTTCTCATTGTTGGCGAGGCCGTAGTTGTCACGTTCTTTAGCAAAGCAGTCATGTATTTGTTGTATTTTCAGTACCAAGCGTGCATTCGGTTAGGAATCAACATAAAACAAGAGAACTAGGATAATCATTTCTTTAACTTTCGTTAAAAATTGCAGTCCCCAAAGATTAAATACCCCTCCGTCTGTCCTGTATCTTTTAGGAATGCTATCATTTTAAAAAAAATTAAAGCATTTGTCATTATTGCAGAGAATATCATGTTAAAGAATGTTTTGGCCAGAACGGAGCCTTGTTTCACAATATTAGTAACAGGAAAGGCCGTAGACTCATTTCCATAATCTATAACCCTAGCCATCATCCCAAATGGAGTTGATGGACTATTTTAATAAAACTACTCGAACTGGGATTCTTCTTTAGTATTTCAATTAGGCCATCTCTACTGACTTGAGTCAAATGCTTTGGTAAGATCAACAAACGAGATTAATAGGTCACACTATCCCTCTTGACAAAAATGAAAATCGAAATACAGGAAAAAAAATGAAAATTATATACAATAAAACTACTCTTAAATTAATGTTTGATTAAACTTTGATTTAATCAAGAAAATTACATCAAATAAAAAGTGGAACAAACAATTTACCCTATATTATTAGTTGGTTAACAATTCTTATTAATCCTTAAAGATAACATTCAAAATAAGTCACCAGTTTGTAAAAAAAAAAAATGCACAATCCTGAAAATGATGAAATTAAAAACAATCAATAAATCCTCAATCATTATTACTTTTGCTTAGAGAAAATGAAAAAAAAAAGGAAACAATAAAATTATTAATCCTTAAAGATAACATTCAAAATAAGTCACCAGTTTGTAAAAAAAAAAAAATGCACAATCCTGAAAATGATGTAATTAAAAACAATCAATAAATCCTCAATCATTATTACTTTTGCTTAGAGGAAATGAAAAAAAAAAGGGTCACATAAAAAATGTAGTGAAGAATTCCAATTTTCAAGTAATACAACACTTTGAGACATGGGACGAAGAGAAAAGCAATCATTTAACAAGATTGTAAAATCACCATAAAAACATTTACATATATAAGAACGGACGATGGGATTCTAAATATTTTGGAAATCCAAAAGACATTTATCATTCCCAAAAATATATTTAAAATAATGGCAAATCTTCAGAAAAATTTCATGAGGCAATGTTAAGGTTCCTGTTTAAACAAAACACACATAAAGTTTTGGTCATTTCAAAAAATCACCACAATCTCTCTTAAATAAGTATCTCAAATTTAATATATTGACCCACTCCAAGATTTCAACATTTCTTTTGAATTAATTGCATCAATTTTTATGTGACATAACACTCCATTGATGTACTTAAAGATATTGATCTACTTTTAATAGGTAGTTCCTGAAATACTGCAACAGTGAACTATATTTTAAGACAGTTTGACTTTTCAAACTTTTTTAAAACCGCAAATGGAATTCTTTCGAAAGCCTCCATTCCTGCCTTCAGCTATCAAACAATAACCATTGTGATACAAAGCATGAAACAGTAGAGCAAAAACTGACTAATTTCGGCGACAACAAATGAGATCTCTAAAGCATATACATATGAACATATTCATCTAGCTCGCAGCTAGAGTGTTTATCGGACCTGCATAATTTTTCTATTTTTTTTCTTTATTTCTTTGTGTTCTTTTAAGACTGATTAAAAATGTATGTGTTTTTAAGAAGCGATTTTTTACCCAAACCCCCACATATTTTTTGACATTATTTTTTGTTTATTGTTGTTGTTATTGTGATTTGATTTTGGAAAAACTAATATTCCTTACATGTCCTGGATGTGACGTCCTCAGATTAAGTTCTCGGAAAATACACTACTATAGTATGAAATTGCCCGACTTTAACAATTATGATTCTCGCTTAAATTGCGATGAAACCGTTGTTAGATGACTATGTGCTTGAATTGATTATAATATATTTATGAGGAATATAATTTTGGTTTAGTCAATTTTTATTTTCTTTAGCGCATTACTGGCATATTATTTCAAATATTAAATAGCCGTCTGTACATGTTAGTCACACTTAACATTGGCTGAATATCCAAATCAATTAAGAAACGATCAATTTACACATTTAATTGGAAGAATTTAAAACAAATTATAAAATGAATGGAAATAAATAATGTGTACATTTTCAAAGAAAAATATTTAATAATTGTGCTTGAAAAAACTTGGCACATCTCCTCCTACCTCAAGATCTCATTACACGCTGAGGCGGAACGCAATATAAAAAATACACACAACTTTTAATTACAATCAAATAAAGAATCCAATCACTGAATAAGTTATTATTAATGTGTTTGAGTTTTTGCAAATAAATACCTTTACCTTAAAAATATATTACTTTATGATACAAAAAAAAGTTCAAGCTTTTATCAATATAGCTTATTTTCTTTTAAAATGTTTAAATAATACAGTAAAATAAAATAAATATATTAATAACTTTTAAACGTAAAATAAAACAATATAGCATTTCAACGAAAATCATTATATGTTATAGTAAATTAATAAAAGTGCTACCACTCCCAATCTTTTTTGTTGCTCACACGTCAACGAAGACTTGCTAGGTCAAATCTCTAATCTTCGATACCAAAAAGTTTCCTAAATGGCAATGTGATCTTTTTAGCGAATGATGAAAAAAAGCCCTCATCATTGGCCTGCTTGGCTGCCTTATATTGTGTTTCAATGTCCTCTAACTGTTTTCGTTGGAGCCTGCTCTCTTCCTCGAAAGGCTTTTGAAATGCCTTCTCGCGATCTTCTCTATCTTTATCATTTTTCTCTGTCAGGACTCTCAATTTCTTTTCGTATTCTTCTAGCAGCCTACTCCTACGCTCGCCCTCAATCTTGTCCTGTTTAAGTCGTTGCTCATATTCCTTTCTTTGCCGTGCTAGCTCTGCCATAAACGTTTGCGTTCTCTCTTCTTCCACTTTTCTCATTTTCTCCTTCTCTTCTATTACTCTTTGAGAAATCTCAATCTCATTAGTAATAGTGACTTGAATTGAATTAACTGTGTGTAATATGTCATGGAGTGCGCCGGTTCCTTTATCCTCTACATGGATTTTATCGTATAATGTCGTAGCTCGTTTCTGGAGACCATCTAAATGCGATAGTCTTTCTTTGTGATCCACATTTTCTTGTATCCATTGAAGTTTCTGTATTATTAAACTAGTTTCATTCATTGTTTCCTCGCGCACCATCGGCTTCTTGGCTTCGACCATCAACTTCTCGCGAGCTTCCCTGGCTTTCTGGAAATTTTCATCGGTGTAACGAAGATCCCTCCATCGCAGGTTGTCCACCATTTCAATCAACTTTGACAGCTGCTTCTCTTTCTTGTCTTCTTCTTTCGTCCTGTTGTCAAATAATACAACTCTATGATTACATTCTTCGAGCAATTCTTTAAAAACTCCAATTTGTTCATTACACCACTCCTCAAATGTTGATGTGTTGTTTTCATCACTGTAAAAATTGTCTCCGCAAGTTAGAACTAAAATACAGTAGTTTTTTACAAAATGTTCTCCAAAGATTCGCTTTAAAATTTGTATAGTTTCCTTGTCTTCTTCAGTAAACCTTCCTCCGAATTTGGTCACCAGAAGAAACGCGTGATACCCTCGCGGGTTGGCTAAAATGGCGAGCTGCATGGCATTCAATACAAGATTAACAGCACCCTCTCTGTCCAGGCATGTGTCCCCTACACCTGGCCCGTCAACAACTTTGATGACGCGGTTATTAACTTCACTCACTTCGCCTTTCACGTCTTTCGTGACAGAAGTTTGAGAATTTTTGCTGATGAACAAATTTCTTCTTAGGATCGTGTTTCCAAGCGCGCTTTTTCCATTTCCTGTCTTCCCGATCAACAAAAGATCTATGTCTTTTGACGATTCCATTTTGACACCTGTGAATGAACAATTTAGCCACTCTTAAGCCATGAAAATATGTAAAACACTATCCACTTTTTTTTAAAAGACCTATATTTAAAAAAACAACAACTTGCAATCATGAATTACAAAAATAATTAAAATCGAATAAGTCAGTAATAAATCCAAAAGTCCAAGGAAAATAACTTTAGAATTTCTTTTAGTGTCAAATATTAAAATGTTCTATTCTAGTACTACCAACCAGATGATTAATTTATATATATATATATTAAAAGTCTTTTGTATCAGGCTTGGGTATATGCATATTAGCAGTGGCGTAACTAGGGGTACCGGGGTGTGGTCAGCACAAAGGGTGGTGACACCAAATTGGAAAATTAAATATTTACCGCAAACACACTGATCGATCTAACCGAATTTCATAAAAGGATAAACGATGACATGTAAATTTTTCACGATGTAACCAATCAAAATACGTACTTTATTAAAAGTTAAAGGTTGATGCGTCAGAAATGAAGTGATCCTATAATTAGGTCAGAAAAACACCGTTTTCATCTTGATTAAAGACCGCCGATTGAAATTTTCGGTAACTTTCGTAAGTTTCAGGAAGATATACTTAACTTAATTCTGAGAAATAAAGCTTTCCACTGGTGCCAAATCAATGTGATTGGGCTATTCTAAGTGCATCAGTCAAATTGATGCAAATTTAAAAAAAAATTAAAATGACTTTTTACCCATTTATAGGGTTAACAAAATAATATTTTGATAAAAAAAATGTAAAATCTTTTAATAATTAATTTAAATAAATTTTAACTTGTTAAAAAAATAGTGTCTTTTAAATTAAAAAAAAACAAAAAACAAATACATCGAAACCTAAAAATACTCAAAACTTAATATTTTCACCGATTAGTCACTAGTCGCGCCTTAAAAGGTGAGCATGATTGTGATATTTTGACTCTTGGGATTGATCTGCCACTTTTGTGTTCTGTATTTTGGATTGTGCTCCGACTCTTGTGTTTGAGCAGTTGGATGTAACTATTTTGTTTGTTGTCTTGAAAACGACACAAAACATTTTAACTGTTCAAGATAATTCTATCGTGCCACACGGCGTGTCCAAATCTGAACGGTCGAGTGGCTGCCCGCAGCGAAAAGAAAACAGAAAAGATTTGACTGACTAAAATCACTACCATGATTCATGCTTCGATAGGTCAGGAAATCTAATGATGACCAGGGTTCATCTAAAGACGTTCCTCAGACTACCAATGAAACTGATTCCTCCAATACAGCTAATAGTTCGGGAAATGGAAGATATTGACGTCAAAATGCCAGAAAATACGTGGATGATTTGAAAAGGGATATGTTTTCTGATATTGTTGATTCAAACAAAGATACTGTAAAGTTTATGGTTAATGAGAGAAATTGGAGTATTTTATCAGATGCTTCTCACTGGAACGAACCAGTTACAGATCATTTTCGGTCTGAAATTCGCAAAAACGAGTGTACCTCGTTTCGGAACCAGTATGGGCCATTCAGCAAGTGACAAGGCAACTTTCTAAATCGCAAAGAAGTTTGCGCCAGATTACAAAACAATAGTTCAACAGGATGATGACAAATGGAAAAAAAATACAGCTGGCTTGGATGGGTTATTCACTCATCAGTCAGAAATCATACTGCTTTACTGCATATTTGCTATTTATGTTAAAGAAACAACATCCAAATGTATTACTGAGTTTGCTAAACGGTGGAAACTGAACCAAAAAAATTACAAAATCTTGCGGTATCAGAAGAGTACTTATATTGCTTTGAAAAATGGAAAAAATGGTAGCCGGAAATTGCCATGGTTGAGATGCTATCTCAATAAGACACAGTGTTAAAAGAGCACTTAATGAGACTTAAAAAGACTACATCTAGAGTAAAAGCAGCTGCATTTTTACCTTCACCATAAACCCACATTTAATTTATAAATGTCCATACAAATAATGTGAAGGAGATTCATATCATGCATATATAGGCTTCCAAGTATTTTGGGATTATGTTTAACAGTACACCTGATATATCACACACTGACCATATTTCTGAGTTGATCAGATATGTAAAAATCCACAGTGGGAAAGTTGAATGAGAAAGGTGTTTCTTTGGATTTTTTCCCTTTAAGGGGGAAAAAGTTAATGGACCCACTGCTGACATTCTTACAAATATAAAATGTGATGGACAAGACATAATGATGTTCAGAGCTCTAGGTTACGATAATTCTGCCAGAATGTCTGGAATCGATGGAGGTGTTTAGACCATTCTGAAAAGAAATTATAAGAAGGCGATTTTTTTATGGATGCGTGGGCCGTACTTTTAACATGTGTGCTCAACTCTCGTTTGCCAAAAATTCTTTAAGTATTACATATTTCGGTACTCTTGAGAGAATATTTCTCTTCTATCAACTCATCGGTGAGATGTTTAAATTTAAAACTCTGAAATGTAGGTGAAAAGAATGTCAGCAACACGTTGGAGTGCTGAACATGCTGCTGTTAAACAGTTAAAGATACGTGAATGTGTGGCGGCGATTGAAGCTCTGTGATCCTCTTGACAATTTGGATAAAAACGGTACAGTACAAGGTATTTTACATGCTGTCTGTGATGTCAGGTTTATCTGCATTCTTTAACTAAGGGCTGAACTACTTGAGGAAGTTAATCTTACACAGCAGTATCAGCAGAATAAATGTTTTACCCTTGACAAAAGTTGTGACCAACTTAGAGGTCTTAAGATTGTTTCTGCACGAGAAACACTCTCACTTGGTGGAAATTGCAGTAGAAAAGGCACGTTTCAAATCAGACCATAATGGAATTTAGGTAGAGTGAAGACTGGGTTTTAAGAAGAGAATGGCGCGTTAAAAATTAATAGCTGCTGGACCCTCGCTGTGAGATGAAAACTGTCGAGTGATGCTGGAGCAAATTGATCGTATTCATTTTGAACACCAGTTCAGCGATCAAGGGAGTAGCAGATATGTTTGGGGCTGTTAACCCGAAGAGTCTACTATCAGCAAGTAAAGAAGAGATTTTGGTGTCGGTTCCAAAATTAACCTATTTCTATGATGAGCTATCCGAAGATGAACTTTTAAAAGAAACACCAAGGCTTGGAAGACACCTAATCAGCAGCTGACATTGAAATGCAGTGAATGATATTGATTTCGATCAAGTGATTGACATGTTTGCAGCTTTGAAAACCAGGAAAGAAACATTTGAAATGAAGTAAATATATTGTAAAAATAACTATATCTTAACTTTCATACCGCTTTTAAATACATTATACCATCACCTTTAATTCATTTGTTTGTGTTCTTGTCATTGTTATACTCTGGTCTTAATTTAAAAGAAGAAATACGTGATGGTGACACCAACCCTAGCTGCGCCACTGCATATTGGTATGCCTTTAACATGGCCTGCTAACAAAAAACTGTTAATAAAAAATATTTTAATCAACTAAGCATTTTTATTACAGATGTGTGTGCGTGCATGATAGTATGGCCTTAACAACATCTGTAATAAAAATGCTTTCAATGAGAAATATTCGTTGTTATATTGTAAATATGTTTTGAGATACTCTTATCATGTGTATTGGCCTGGCTACCTTAATTACCGCTTGATCCATTGTTTCCATAGAGCCTTGAAAGATATGCTATTTTAATTTCTAATATTTTAATTTATAATTTATATATATAAATATATATATTAAAGATAAATGAAAATAGCAGATCTTTATTAATTAAAATAGCAGTTCAATATATATATATATATATTTCGTTGGCGATGCTAAAAGCAAATTTGTACTAAGCAAAAGAAGGCTTTGTCAAAATATACGTGTACAACATTGGCGATTGAGGTTGAAATGTAAGTTTCCTGCTTATGTAATATATCGATGGCCCCTAACAATTTCTTGTTTTATAGATAACTTCTAATCATTGTAATACCCGAGTCCTTCTCAGAATATATTTTCAAAATACCTGGACTGCTTACCCGGACGAAATAAACTTGACCCGGCTCAGATGTATGCTATTATTTTGCTTGCAACATATATTGGTAATAAATTAAATCACATTAAGATTTTTGAAGAACAATAATTTAAGAGCAAAAATACGGAAAGCAAAACGAAATAGATAGCAAACCTGATCAATCTAAGAAATGGTAAAGGCTTATTTATCCATTAATACTAACGCATATAATATGTTTTAATAATATAATGTTTAACAGGACACTGTAACATATAGTGTATATAATAAATTAAAAAGAAAACTGTTCTAACAAAGCTTACCGGTGAGACTAAGTAATTTTTGTCTTTACATACTGACACACATGCACAGACACCTGTTACGACGTGCGTGATGAAGAAGAGACAAGGTGAAGGTTACCTTCAGTATTGATTAAACCGTCGCGTTTTCTCCAAAAACAACGTTTCCGAGAAGAGATATTTCCTGGAAAACGCCAGTAGAATAATATTTTCCTTTAAAAAGTGGTTATGAACGGGAAAATAGACGAATTAAGAAGCAGCTTTCTTATTGAGTTTCAAATCATCTTTAGAGCAGTGGTTCTAAACCATCCTATTGCCGTGACCCTTTAAGACAGTTTCTTATGTTGTAGTGACCCTAAACCATACAATTATTTTCGTTTCTATTTCATAAAGTTGTGTTTCTGATAGTCTTAGGCGACTCCTGTCTAGGGTCGTTCAACCCCAAAATGGGGTCGCGAACCCCAAGGGTTGAAAATCGCTGCTCTTGAGCAATGGTTCCCAACGTAGGGACTATGCTTCATGAAAATTGGATTGGTTTTGGTTTTTATGTGTTGTTTTTTTTGTTTTTTGTTTGTTTTTTTTTTGGGGGGGGGGAGCTGCAATTCAAAAATGTTCTGTCTAGAATTTGAAAATTAACAGTCTAATATGATTTAACTTGTATATTTAACGGAGAATTGTTAGAGCAGCGTTTCTCAATCTTTAGGTCGCGACCCCTTTAGGGGTCGCACGACACTTTCACGGGAGTCGCCTAAGACAATCTGAAAACACATATACCGTGCAGTTATATAATGTCAACACAAATAATTTTTTGGGTTGGGGGTCGCCCCATATGAGGCAATGTATTAAAGGGTCGCGGCATTAGAAAGGTTGAGAACCACTGCGCGAGAGACTCCATTTAAAACAATCGTTCGTTAAAAGTGTTGTAAAAATCCGTTGATTTTAAACACAGCCAATTGCCTCAGTCGGTTAACAAAAGTAGCTATATAAAATATATATATATATATATNTATATATATATATATATATATATATATGTAAGTAAAACGTAGGACTCAACTTATTGTTCAAATTCAATTTAGAGCTATTTATCTGCATTAGTATAATGTATAGCAAGCTTTTCGCTTCAATACATCGTTATTTTAGCCACCACAACTGTCTGCAAGTTGAATGGCCTTTAAAATCGACGTCGCCAAAATGACTGATCCTCTCCCTTGTCCTATCTAAAGTGTAATTACACCTGAAAGAATTACATTTGTTCGACATTCGAATGCCAATATGTGATGGAACATCTTGATATTTCTGTACTAGAACGTTCCGGTTAAATTCATATATCAATTTAATTCCTATATAAAGATTCCAGTTGTCCTAGTAGTTTGATGTACATGGTAACAGTAATTAATTGTAAAGCATTTTTGAGTTATTTAGAGATATCTTGAAAAACTAAATATATTTATTAAATAACCTATTTCAAGGAGCAAATATAACTCTTTTTCGATGCAAAAGTTAAGATATGTATATATTTATTTTTACATGTATCGAATAGTTTCAAAAATAGCTTGTGACAAATGTTTGAAAAGTTTGATGGATTCAAAATATGGGAAGTGACTGATACTGATATAATTGTTTGTGTCGATCATCTAAATATTATGTCTTCTGGATGTCGTAGCCAATGTTAGTAGATGTGTCTGGTAATTAAAAATTTTATAAGAAGAACTAGCAGAAACGCAAATCGATGAATCTGTTAAAATGTCATTTAATATACAAGGAGAGATGGCATGGCATTATGAAGAAACAGAAACCAAAAATCTAAATTTTTCCAAATGTTCAAGACAATTATTTTTACCCTTTCTATCTTCATATTTATCTGAATATGCATTGAGTGCTATGGGTGATTTTGCTGCTCAAAAAAGAAATCGGTTGGATATAACACGGGAGAGGGGGGGGGGGGGAACTTGTTACTGAAGGAATCTAAATCTTAGCCTTACGAAGGATTACCAAATAATGCACTGGAAAAAACNTGAAATATAAGCTAGAAATCTACTTGGGGCACTCCGTCTTTTCCTATGTTTCACTGATGTGATGCGTTGTTTTATGTCTGAACGTCCACCATGACCAATACTAAAAATATTATTGCAAATTGTGCAATCGGCTTCACTTTCATAGCGTCCCTTTTTAATATAGTTCCATGGCTACTACATAAACTTATATTGACGCTTGGGCATAATTATTGTCTACATGAGAAGATAATATAAAATTAAAGAATAAAGTCCAACACACAAAACAAACACCTGTCACTCTGACACGAACAGGCCGGCAGGATAACACATAAGACTAACACATTACACGTAGCGTTAGCGGAATCAAAATTGGTTTCTGCGCAGTTACATTCTCCCCCCCCCCCCAATCCTCAGCAGCTTTAAGTCTCGTTTCTTTCGCTATACATTTAAATATAAGATCTATAGCAGGGACACTGTGGTGGAGAGGGAACGGTGCAGCCATCACGCGAGCCCAAATCACTTCTGGCACTGGCTACACATCTAGGCACAATATTGCTTTAAGTTATATTATAAATTGGAAAGTTTTTGTGATTTGAAAATGTGTTTGGTTTAAAAAAACGGTACATTTAGGCGTCCCAACAGACTTTACGGGACAACGAGTACGATCGTGAAAAAAGCGGCACAAACCCGTTTTTACGGGACGTTTGGTCACCCTAGCCTAACAACTCTGTGCAGCAAGCATAAAGCGCATGTTTCTTATTATGTTAGTGGTGTCACACCTTCTTTGTGATCTCACACTCTATTAGGGTGATCTCACACTGTATTTGTGATCTCACACTGTATTTGTGATCTCACACTTTATTTGTGATTCACACTGTATTTGTGATCTCACACTGTATTTGTGATCTCACACTGTATTTGTGATCTCACACTGTATTTGTGATCTCACACTGTATTTGTGATCTCACACTGTATTTTTGATCTCACACTTTATTTGTGATCTCACACTGTATTTGTGATCTCACACTGTATTTGTGATCTCACACTGTATTTGTGATCTCACACTGTATTTGTGATCTCACACTGTATTTGTGATCTCACACTGTATTTGTGATCTCACACTGTATTTGCCGTCTCCCTCTGTTTTTGTGATCTCTAATTATATTTATTATCCTTAAGTGTATATTTAAATTATTAAATATTAAATAAAATAAAAAAAATATAAGTATTTTATAAAAATACTTGATTTTACTTGAATTTCAGTTCTCCATTAAATTTTTTGAAAATTTACTTAGTGTGTTTCCTTCTTCCCAAAACCCATTATTTAGTTTTCTTTCAGCGAACTATTCAACTTTTCAATTTTAAAAATGTATGTATATATTACTTGCGGAAGGAGGTGGGGGAGATAATAATTTTAGAAAGGCTTATTTGGAACACACTTCCTGTAGCTCTTAGAAAGAGCCAGGCATTTGAGTCTTTCATAACCAATTTGAAAACATATCTATTTCGCAAACACCTGCTGTGGTGATGTTGTCTACCAGCTTTTTCAGCTATCTATTATCTATGTATATTGGCATGTATTGTTTTGGCTGCGAGGGATAAAAGATCTAGCTTGAGTATTCTTGAATGTACATTTTTATTGCTGTGTTTTGTATTTCAATGCGGTAAAATATAGACTTTTTCTCTTTCAATATGGATGACTTTGTACAGGTACCGAGTTGCCCCGATAATTGAAGCTGCGCTGAAATGAACTTGAGCATGCTAATCCTGTAAAGCGGGAGGGAGCCGGGAGGGGGGGAGAAGTGTTAGATAATAAGAGCTATCGTCAGCTTTAGGAGGGGTTCAATGTACCCTGTTCCTTAACAGTGCCCTCGCCTTTACTCGAGAGGCCTTGGCATGCTTAATGGATGCATCCCCAATTTCCTTACGTCGATCATTGTGAAAGTTCTCGGTTTCATCTAAGCTTGTGCCAAAAGATTGGCCAATGGCGTAGCACAATCGGATGAAATTCCCTTTGTGTACGGAACCGGACGTCATTTTGCCTACTTTGCATGCTGACGGATGCCCTTTCCGCCTCCACCCAGGCGCTTGAAAAATTCTCTCCCCACTAAATTGTCTATTAGAAACATTGAATTTAAGTATACGCTAAAATGCATCTCTTGATTTGAAATACTAGAGAAATGTTCTCAGGAGAGGATCAACCCAACCCCTACCCCATTTTTATTCAGAGGCCATCACCAGCATCGTCGTCTGACCAACTTCCCGTTAAAAGTAACAGTATAGTTGGCCTTGATCGTAATTTATGGCCCCTAGTGGCGTAGCTAGCCTTTCTGGGTAAGCAAAAAAAATTGTCTTTAATCCCTTCCACGATTTTTATCCTTTAATAAACTATGAAAATATCTCACTTAATTAAATACAAATTAAAATTTGCAGTTTTTACTTTTTGATAACAATACTTGACATATTTCAAGTTGATAACTTATTTTTATAATTGATTTAAACCATTCAAAAAATGATAACATTTAAAAAGATGGTCTCCATAAAAAAATTATTAGAGCTCACCGGATCAAAAGTCTGGACAAGTGTTCCCAGTGGCTTCGTCCCAAATCATCTGATCACATTTGCCTCCTTTCTATAGCCAGATGGTGGTATGTCAGGAGGATTGTCACAACGACGCTGGTTCTTGGAACCTATAAACTTAGCTCCAAAACATTGTCTGCTAAATGCTATTGATGTTTTTGCGAAGATTATTTTAAATTACTATTATTATACTTGTTATTTTAATTTTGTGTGAATGCCATGAAATATGTCTTTCGGTTTTTATCTCATTTTCAGCAGGGCTAACTAAGCTCTTTCACGATGATGATGGTGGAATAATTGTACTTTATTAGATTTCATCAGTATAATTTACAACAAATTCAAAATTAGATGATGTATACATTTTCAAAAAAAATATTTAAATAAATTCTTCTTTAAAAAATCTTTGGCACATCTACCCCCCCCCCCACGGTCTCAACGCCATATTAGTCAGAAAACAAACGTTCACACTAATAATCATACACACAAACACAGGAAAGTAATACTGATAGAGAAATTTAAAAAAAATTCAAAATTAGATGATGTATACATTTTCAAAAAAAATATTTAAATAAATTCTTCTTTAAAAAATCTTTGGCACATCTACCCCCCCCCCCCACGGTCTCAACGCCATATTAGTCAGAAAACAAACGTTCACACTAATAATCATACACACATACACAGGAAAGTATTACTGATAGTGTCCCCTTTAAACATTTGATAGCACTCAGTCAAATAACCCAACTGCTCAAATGAGTTTTTATCAATTTTATTGTGCATGTTCAAAAAACTTCCATTAAGTTAAAATTCCTGACTTCACCATCACTATATGAATTCACCATCAAAATCTTACTTCAACATCAAAATATAAGTCATCATCAACATATTAAGTCAACAACGAAATATGAATTCATCATCAAGATCTTACTTCAACATCAAAATCTTACTTCAACATCAAAATTTTACTTCACAATTAAAATTTTACCTCACAATCAAAATCGTTCTTCACCATCAAACCATTTTTCGAGCTTTCATTTATCAAAATTGCCATTTGTATTTGAACATCTTTAAACATGGTGGATTTTTTTTCATTTTTACATATACATTTTTAAAAAAATGTGAATGTTTTAAAAGTTTATATTTAAAATAACAAACCGTCATATTGCAAACAAGGAAATTTTGTTTTAGAATGTTGATGTATTCATTAAAAATCAAATTCATTAATCAAGAAATATGCTAACTCCCCTCCCCACACAAAAAAGCGCGTTCGATCCATTTTGAAAGCTGTAACGCAAGCACACGAATTTTTTGCGGAACACTGCCTTACTTCGTCCAGCCTGTCCTAGAAAACAACAAGGACGAAAAAACCGGAATTAACAACTGCGACCCCCCCCCCCCCAAAAAAAAAAAAAAAAAAAAAATCACCAGTTTTACAACTGTTATCTTCGTGGCCAAGGCTTAAACTTGGGAAGACCAGGGCAGCGTGCAAGTCGACCGAATAATTAATCTTTCATAACGCAACCAAGCAGTTGGAGCCTGTTGCTTATATATTACCCCGGGACCTTAAGGAGTAATAGTTTGGATGCTACCGCATAGAAGTTTGAATTTGTTGACCAAATACTAACACCCAACAATTCACTACATACATATGTTTAAAACACGGACAAAAATGTTTCATAAATACAGTAACTGTTAAATTAGCAATACACAAAGGCATTATATATTTTTACAATTAATCTTCGCTACCAAAAAGTTTCCTGAATGGCCACGTGACAACGCTTACGACAGTTGAAAAGAAGCCCTCATCGTTGGTCTCCTTGGCTGCCCTGTATTTATGTTCTATGTCTTCCACCTGTTTCCGTTGGCGCCTGCGTTCTTCTTCTAAAGTTTTCTGAAATTCTTTCTCGCGCGTTTCTCTTTCTTTATCCATCTTTTCTGTCATGTCTCTCCATTTCTTTTCTTGCTGTTCTAACAGCTTACTCCTACGCTGATCCTCAATCTTGTCCTTGATAAGTCGCTGCTCATATTCCTCCCTTTGCCGTGCTAGTTCTGCTATAAAGGCTTGCGCTCTCTCTTCTTCCATCTTTCTCATTTTCTCCCTCTCTTGGATGACTCTTTGAGAAATCTTAATCTCATCAGCAATAGTGACTTGAATGGATTTAGCTGTTTGTATTATGTCATGTAGGGCGCCTGTCCCTTTGTCCTGTACCTGGATGTTGTCATATAATGTCGTAGCTCGTCTCTGAAGATCATCCAAATACGAAAGTCTTTCTTCTGGCTCGACATTCTCCTGTATCCAGTGAAGTTTCTGGATAATTAAACTAACCTCATTCATAGTTTCCTCCCTTAGCATCGGCTTTTTGGCTTCCACCATCAACTTCTCGCGTGCTTCCCTGGCTTTCTGGAAATTTTCATCTGTGTAACGAAGATCCCGCCATCGTAGGTTGTCCACCATTTCAATGAGATCTTTCAGTTGCTTCTCTTTCTTGTCTTCATCTTTCGTCCTGTTGTCAAATAATATAACTCTATTGCAACATTCTTCAAGCAGTTCCTTAAACACTCCAGTTTGTTCATTGCACCAATCTTCAAATGTCAAGTTGTGGTCTTCAGTTTCAAAATTGTCTCCACAAGTAAGAACTAAAATACAAAAGTTTTTGACAAAATTCTCTCCAAACACTTGTTTCAAAAATTTTACCGTGTCCTGATCTTCTGCAGTAAACCTTCCTCCATATTTGGCCACCAGTAGAAAAGCATGATAACCTCGTGGGTTGGCCGAAATGGCGTACTCCATTGCCCCCATAACAAGATTCACAGATTTCTCATTGTCCATGCGAGTGTCCCCTACACCTGGTCCGTCAACAACTTTGATGATGCGGTTATCGAAATCGCTCACTTCATAGGCAACCTTTTTGGTAACTGATTCTTGAGAACTTTTGCTGAGAAAAGCTTTTTGACGCAGGATCGTGTTACCAAGAGCGCTTTTTCCATTTCCTGTCTTGCCAATAAGCAGCAGATCGATGTCTCTTGATGATTGCATTTTGTATCTGTAGACAAAAACCATCGAGGCATTTAATTAAAAGCCAGTGGGATCAAATGTTTGCATTATTTAAGGTATTGGTCGTTTTATTAAACACATTTAAATCATAATACGATTAAAAAACGCATTAAAAGAGAAAAAAAAATCTTTTTGATGGCTTGATATGCCTTGAAAGTAAGATTTTCTGTGCAATTGCTGTAAAGCAATAATATATTTTAAATGGAACAGTTTTGGGTTCATTTTTTAATATCTTTTACCAAATCACATTGCCAAATTAAGTTTTGCATACAGTAAAAACATTATAAATATAGTTTTTGTAGGCTGCCAAAGATACACAAATATCATATTACATCAATTGATTTTACATATAAAGCCGTGTTAGGGGGAACTGAGGGTGATGGGAAGGGGAAAGTGGGACAATGACATGAGGGGGATTGTTGAGTTACAATTCTTGGGACTGTTACTTAGGAATAAAGCGTTATTGAAAAACCCTGTAAACAAGGTTATATATAGAGTCATATGCATACATTTAAAAAAAAAAATAGATAGCTTCAATTAAGGCACCAAAATGTTTTTGTTGAAAACTGAGAAAATGATAACAATCTAAATAAAATGTTTTTACTTGAAAACGAATGATAAAATAATCATTAAAATATTGGCTATTCTCTCTCACTGAACTAGACTCTAATGTTGTTCCTAATCTTCTTTGTTCTGATCTTTCAACATAGACATGATTATCACGCGAAATACACTTGGACTAAATCTTTGAACGCAAGGTTATTCTACAACCAATTGACAGCATGCTAGCTTGTCTTAGGGCAATTTTTTAGACCAAAAATTAAAAGTATGTCTTTTTCAGATCTACGAGTGTTGCTCTAATGCGTTTTAAAAATTGAACTTGCATATACTGTTCATTTCCAATGTATACATTAATGCGTCAGTGTGATATTGAAATCAATGGGATCATTTCACGCCTTCCTGAGTTGATTTTTGATAAATATCAATTTTAGATCATGAATCATTTAATGTAGGTCAACATTTTATATCGTGTGAGAAAATGTAGAAAAAAAATTTGTCATAGAACTTATATTTGACACTCGTTTATACCAGTGGTTCCCAAAGTGTTGTATACGTTTTCTTCGGAGGAAAACTGCGAGTGATTCTAGCTGTCGTGTACATTACTGTTGTAATAACTGATACCTGGGGCCTGTAACAAAAACTTTAGTTTAATAACTAAATGTACGCAATTTCCGTGTACGTGTTAGACTTTGTAAAAACCACAATTAGCAAATTCATATAAAAAGTAAACTATTTTGGAACCACTGGTTGGGTGATTGACACACTTTTCCTTAAATAAAACACATGGCTGATTCAAATAAACTTTAAAAAGTTAAGACTGATGAACCTATTCATTTTTTGTTTTTGTTTTAATTTCTTTTCAGCAATACTGTACAGAGTAAAACGCAGTGATGTAGTAAAAGTTAAGAAAAAACTAACATAACAAAACCTACCTGGATGACAAGAAGATCTTCGTCTCATAAATTCTGATAAAAATGAACGACCGACTGTTTCGTCGCGTGTACTTGAAATAAAGAACACACTTGGGGGTGAAGGTTACTTTCTGTATCGATATCACGGCTGCGTTCCATCGAAAAATAACGTTTTCCTAGAAAGTGGATTTCCTAGAAAACTCCTTCAAACAAGCTGTTCACATCATGGGCGTTTGAAGCGTAGATCTAAACGAAGAAAAAAAAGGCGCCATAACTAGTGACGTGCACAGTAAGTCTTATGTCGACACCGTCGATACATGATCGTGGATTAAATGTCAAAAATCGGAAATGTTCACAAATATTGCTCATTTTTTAGTGGTTAGCGAATACATTAATTTTGGTTTAGTACACACTTTTTAAAATCTTACAGTGGCCCGTGTATTCAAACAATACTTATTTGGAGCTAAAACACTACGGTTTAGGGGAGGGGGGTGGGGTGGGGGATGAGTGGGAATCGCGACATCCTAATGATATGATTTTTAAGAAGAGTTTCTTTACATTTTGCTCTAAAATATTTAACGTCACTGAAAAAAAATAAAATTTAAATAAAAATAGCAACACCCTAGTTAATAAATCGACTTCTTTTCCTGTACAAACGTAATTTCCAGGAATTTGCTTTTCCTAGGAATACTTGTTATGACATTGCAGAAATCCAGCACTTAGGTTATTTGTGTTTATGGGATGTCGACAGCGGGGCCACGTTCGCCCTGCGCGGCTGATCTACATTTAGATGATTTCGAGCCAGTCCAGTTCCAACAAGTTACCTTCTTTTCGAGGAAAACTACTGGCGATACGTGCAGGGTTCAAGGTCACAAGGTCATGGATCAACGCTTCGTAATAAATAGATAGCAACTTACTGTGGCAGGGGACGCAGTTGAATTCTGTTCCTTTCTTATTTTACAAAGGTAAGATTCGTGTGTCAATTAACTTTTACTAAACGGTTAATGTCTTTAAAAAAATTTTTTATTTCAAATTACATGTTCCCAATCCTTTATACACTTATTTAAGATTTGGCTAATTAAAAAACACAAAGCAAAGCATATAGGAGATAATGATATTTTTAGACGAAAAAGAAAAATATTATTTATTTAAAGCTTGTTTGCTTAGTAACTTTCAAGTAGGAGAGGCTACACATAAGAGTATCTACTAAAACACGACAGAGTTGAAATTTACGGTTATCATCCATAATTTTTCTCTGTTAAAATTCTATATTTACTTAACAACATGATGACATATTTTACCCGGCACGCATATTTTAAATAAATTTAAGTGATCAGTATTCAATATGATAACTGTAGATGTAATTATAAGAATAAAAATGTTATACCCTATCTGTAATAACAATTCCATCCATCGTTTTGCTACTACAAGCTTTTAAGCATACAACGATTATTATGTATGCAAGTGTTCTTAAGACCAGAGGAAGTATATATATTAGAAAAACAAATATGTTGCAACTAAATCGGTATATAATCTTCAAATTACTTTGACTTGCACATTTTAGCCACAAAAAATGTATGTATTGAACAATATGATGTTTTAAATAACTTGGAACAGTAGAAAAAAAATGGATAATTAAACAATAATGATTACATTCCTTTTTTATATTATTAGATAGGGGTCTGCATGTCTTCGAAATATCATTGGGAAAAAAAAACGAGTAAAAGAAACACCGACACAAAAAAAACGAGAGAATAAGATACGAAAAGGTTAGCATGGATCCTTTGGGTGCTAACAGTATTGTCCAAGACAAACAGATGGGACTTTCCTTAATCAAGACGGGTGGTCGGTACGCATTTGCAAAGGAAGATCCCGATAAAGGAAATAAGTCAAAGACCACCCCTTTTAAAACACAACCAACTGGTTCTGAAGATTCAATGGAACTTGACGCATCACAAGGACAACCTATCAAAAAGTGTGGCGTCAACAGAGACTGCTATGGCGAAAGAGTTCACCTTAAGGATGGCCTTGGAACATCCCAAGTTTACAATGGAGATGACATTCAGAAACAATCACAAGTTTGTCAAGCCTCTGGAGCTTCTGCTGAATATGACATTCAAAAGCGTTCAGCATTTTCTCAAGTATCCGCAGGTTCCATTGAAGGGGATATTCCAAAGCGGTCACAATTTTCTGGAACATCCCCAATTCCAAATAAAGATGACATTCAAAAGCCCTCACCTGTTCCTCAAACCTCCGGTTTTTTTTCTAATGAATATGATATTCAAAAGGCATCGCAATTTTCCAAAAAATCCACAGTCCCAATGAAAGATGACATGCAAAAGCGAACATCCTTTTCTGATGCACCCAGTGTTTCCACAGAAGATGACATTCAAACGCAACCACAAGTTCGGCAAACATCCACAGTTTCCCCTCAAGATGACATCGAAAACCGATCACGAATACAACAAACTCACAATAGTATTGTGGGAGTAACTACAGAACACATATCACATGGAAAGAATGTAGGTGAAAAATTAACGCCAGGAAAATCCGATAATGATGAACTCAAATGTGCAGCAAAAGTTCAACATGAAAATGCAGCCCATCCGGAGATAACTACAGAGACGAGTAGTACAAACTCCTTCCAATGTTATCCAGACATAGATGAACGCCCAAAAACACAACTTGAATTTGAACTTGTCGTCTCAGAATTAACAAACCTTGATGAATACAGCAAGTCAGTCCTTGAAAGGACACAATTTCGTTTACACGACATCGTAAGGCGCTTGCAAACCAGTGAACAGGGAAATCAAGTATTACTGGTGGATGTTAACAGTGTGAGGGCAGAGGTTAACACAAGATTGGAAGCGGTAAAAAGATCTTTTTCACCAAAGAGTAAAGACCTATTTTTCACGAAGAAAGAAGACATGTCTGAACCAAAGGCTACTTTTGTCCAAACGAGAACGGTAGGTCATTTTGTTGCATAGAAATAAAAAAAAATGTATCTTTAATAAATCTAACCATGATTTTAATTATCAAACTGACTTTTTAATTATTTAAAAACAAATAATCAATCACACATTATGAGGAAAAACATATTTTGTTACACCAATATTAGAGTTTATTATTTTTTAACATTATTTTAAAACAACATATGTACAATGTTTATGCAAAACTTATTAAAGATACTTTATTGATAAAGTGTAATAATAATTCATAAACGTGTTATGCATAACTTTTAACTCATTGTACTTTGTAAGGAAAAAAAAAACTTTAAGAATTCTGATTTCATTATAACATGTTCGTTTCAAAGAATCTACTAAAACTAGATATATAATTAAAATTCATGTTTTGTATTTGTATTTGTCAGGAAATTCCATTAATCAATTCAAAGGATATCGACCTACTTTTAATTGGAAGTTCTGGAAATGGCAAGAGTGCTACTGGAAACGCTATTTTAAGAAAAACTGTCTTTCAAACTGCAGCAGGGACAACTTCGAACGCATCGATTTCTGCAAAGAGCAGTTCAAAATTCAAGGACTTAACCATTAATGTGGTAGATGCTTGTGGTGTTGATACCAATGGCAAGAGCAAGCTAGAAGTCTTGGAGTTGTCCCTCAAATCGATCAAAGAAGCACTAGAGCTCTGTGAATACAGTTTTACAGCACTGCTCATTGTCATCAAATTTGGTGCAAGATTTACTCAGCACGAAAAGGAAACTATTAAAATGATCCGTGGCGTCCTCGGCAATGACGTCGTTCAGAAATACGGTGTATGTGTTGTTACTCATGGTGATAACTTCGAGTATGAGATGGCAGAAGAAGAAAATGAGGGAAATAGCATGACATTTGAGGATTGGTGCCGTGCACAAGAAGGGGAAATAGGAGACATATTTAAGGAATGCAGCTTCAGGTGCGTCTTGTTTAACAACAGAACCAAAGAGGAAACCAAAAGAGAGGCTCAACTTGAGAAACTTGTTTCAGTAATAGGACACAATGTAAAATACTCAAGGGATCAGTTTCTGAAAGCTGATGAAGGTCTGTCAAAATTGACCCAGGAACTTTTCTTGCCAGAAGTAATACAAAATACTAATAAAATGGTCAACGATATGCGATCTAAAATGGTGACCATGAAGTTTAGTTTTGATTCTAACGATTTCTTTGAAATGGCGAATGAAATGCTCAGAGAACTAAATCACTACAAGGAATCAATTCTTGCTGCGTGTTGGGATGAGTCGGCAAAATCAAATATACTTGGTGTTATCGTACCAATGGAACTAGAGTTGAACTCAAAACTGAAGCTGTGCAGCGGTAGCAAAGCTGACAAAACACACACTAATGCTAAGGGACCATTATTAAGATGTGCATCTTTAGGTGAATCTCATGTCTGTTTCGAACATGATATCGGAGTGAAGCCGACTAGTTATGCAAGTCACAGGGAAATTGTTTACTCGCAGTCTCAGATTATTCAACTAGAGAAGGATATAAAGAGGAAGTTGGATAATTTAAAATGGGCCTCAAAAAATTTAACAAATGCCACGACCGATGAAGAAAATCAGTTACAGAAAAAGATAAGGCTACTCAAAGAGGAATACTCTGACTTTTTAAATTCTCCTGTTGGGACTAAAATGTTTAAAGAAATTATGCAATTTCAATTTGGAAGACAAGAACCAAGAGAACAGAAAAATAAAAATGAATGGATTACATGGCAAAACTTTGAAAGAATGTTAACTTCCATAAAAAATCTTATTTCTTCTAGTTTTAAAAAATCAGATTAAATTGTTTGTTTTTTTCTGTTATTCTCGCTCTAGTTAAGCGATTATTGGAGGTGCACATTTAAAATACTAAATTTCAATAGAGATTAAGAGCAACACACAATTTTTCAATTTATTTATAAAGCTTTCCTGTGTTAAAAAAGACCCATGTTAACTAACGTAAGCAACATAAACCTACAAAAAAAAAAAAAAAAAAAAGAAAAAAAAAAAACAAGAAAAAAAAAAAATATCTGATATTTTAAAATAATGTATTTCTTATTATATCAAACATTTATATTTCCCCAAGTCTGAAAATTGTCCAATCTTTCTGTAGATTTGGAGTTTAAACATTACACTTACTTAAAGGAATCTATAACGTAGTAAAGTGCTTATTTTAGCATAACATATTATTAATATGTTTACATTGTCTTTTATTGAAATCAATAACGTTAGTTTCAAACGTCTTAAATACCTTACATTTATATGAACGTATGGATATGTTTAAATGAAAATAGAATGATTAAAACATAACAATATATTATTTTAAGGTTTATTTTCTCGGTTTTCTTAATTTATTATTTTTTATTTTTTTTTTGAAAAGCAGAGATACACAGACAAATATTGTATTCGTGTTTTATAATATTTTAGGTTCACCTAGCATAAGACTTTTTGTCCCGAAGATTACCAATAGTTATTTTTGAGTTGAGTGGTATCCTTGCCTTTGTATTTAAGTTGCTTGTACGATTTGTCCGCCACATTTCTCCTCTCCAAGTTTGATCAAATTTTAAGGGCAAGATTTGGTTAAGACGACTTGCTAATAGGGCTGTTGAAAGGCAGAATATATACTAGTATAACTATTGACAAGTAAATCTAGTTCTTTGAGACATTCAATTACTCACCACATTCACATTGTTACCTACTGGCTTCTATTGTGAAAAAAATGTATCTCTTGTTTTAAGTTATGGCTCGTTTACACAGTGCACAACAAAGGACGATACCATAGAGAAATAAAATAATAAAGATATGACACGCAAAAACAGTTGATTACAATTGATAAGTTTTAATTGAGTAATAATACAATTACAAAACAAAAGAAATATAATTACAAATTATCAACTTACAGAGTATGGGAAAATCTTGTACCGGTACACAATTAGTACAATGTGCCAATTAATAATGATAATGATGAATGCGAAATAAACACATATGAGCACACAAAGAATAATACACGTCTCGTAAAGTTAATAACATCTATACGAATCTCTCTCTCTCCCTCCGAGCCTGTCAATCGCTTATATATGTGGGTCTACCGACGCGTCTAGAAACGCCTTTACTTTTCTAATACAATCGCGAACATTCGACAAAACACACTGAGAACAAATTAATTATTTTAGTTGCTGTCGGCAATAAATACGACAGATCAAAAGACTAAACAACGCCCATCTATGAACGTAGCGTCTCATGTGGGGTCAACCAGAGTGCACGCACGAGGAAAGTGTTGTAAACAAGCTTTAGATAACAACATATTTTAAGCATTTAAAAAAAATAATTATTGTTATTCATTTAAAAATTATATTTTAAATGCATAAATTAATAAAGTAATCTTACATTCACTAAAGAGTTCTATGAATATTGAAGGAAAATAAATGGGGAACTACGTTTATTAATCAAGTATTTTGATGTGTTTCTTCGAATCCGCTTATATTATTTACGCTTTGGTTTGTGGCTGGCTGGCAAAATCTTCGGATTGCTAGTTGACCCTCTGCCTGTCAACCTATCCAGCTGAAACCTGGCACATAGACTCGTTGTCGATGACAACACATGCTGTCAAACTTTTCAGCCCCAACCCCAAAGATAATTGTTTTCATGTTTATTAAAGGGGGAGCTGAAGGAAATTTGATTTCACACAATAAAATGCCCGATTAAAGTGCTAATTGAGATTTTTGTTTAATTACCTCATGTGCGTTTGTTGCGTTTAATTCACTTTGTTTTACTGTAAAATAGTTGTTAAAATAAATCTGGGGTGTAAAATGGGTTGGTTATTAGAATATTGAAATATATCTATATAGTTCAGAGGCGTGTATAAAATGTGCTAGGCTTTGAAAGAGGGCGGCACAAATTTGGATTCTTATAAAGTGCGTCATTAGTATGCGTGTTTTGTCAAAAAATTTTATTCCAAAATTCAATAACTGTGTGTTATAATTTACGGGTTATAACTTTTTAATAAATATTAAATACATTGACTACCGCTTTTATAAAAAAAAAGGGTTATAATTTAGAATGATAAAATCAGAAGTTTAAGATTTAAAGATTAAGTTCTGTTTACGCATAAAAATATCACATTCTTAGTAAAGAGTTCATTCGAACATTTATTTAGTGTATCGGTTTTGCTGTTATAAAAGCTAAAGAAGCTCACTATTTTTAAAAAAAAACAACTTTAAGTTGATTTTGGATTCTTTTTATTTAAAATATGACGCATATTTTAAGACTTTACTGTAATAGTATTGCTATAACATGCCCACAAAGAATGTTGATTTCATAATGGAATTATAAAGCGTTATAATTAATAATATCAAAAACAAAAAAAGAATTTAAATAAAACACTTTGCTTACAATTTTCTAGCTAAATTGTGTATAAATGATTTTAAATTACATTCCATTCATATTACAAGATGTCATTTGGAATATACTTTTATATTAAATTATATATAATATGTATGTATGAATATATATATCTATTTATATATAAATAAATATATATATATACATTTCTATATATATAAACGTGAAAGTTTGTTTGTTTGTGGATTTGTTTCAGAAAGGCATCACATGGATAGATGGAACTTGACCAAACTTGGTACATATATTATCCATCATTATACGGAAAGAACTTTTAGGGGGTTGTGAACATTTTATAACAATTTGTTTAAGGCCGGGGGGCCCGAATTCGTTTTTTTTTTTTTTTTGGGGGGGTCATATATAAGCTAGTCTATATAAATAAAATTAACAACACACACTCCTATACGAATAGATGGATCTTGACCAAACTTAGCACACATACACTTGATTATCAATATTCAAATAACGAAGGGTACTGAACTCATAATATCCAATCCATCTGGAGCCGGGGCTCCATTTCATTGTTCCTAATATTAGCTATATAAATATAAAGTGGCTTAGACAGCACTCTAGGTTCTATTTGCATTCATGGATCTATTCCTAGCTTGGTAGCAATACCCTTCATCGTCCGTCTTGAAATATCGGTTGGATTTAAAACTAAAAATAAATAATAATATGCAATCTCGATTTTTTCCAGAGAGTTTGATAATTTCAAAAAGCTTTTAAATAAATTTGAATGGGGCACGTTTTAAATTTTACCTTCATAACTTATCTGAATGATTCTTATAGCGGTCCAACTCAGGCAAAGCTAATTCGGTTCAATTATGGAATAGGTCCCTTAGGGCCCCTCTTTCAACTTAAATGTACTATAGTTATAATAATGCATTTAGTGTTATAATTTTTCGTTTTCCAAGAATAATTACTTAGAAAGCACTTTTTTTTTTTACACTTTTCGAGGAAGATAATTGCATTCAATCTAGAATGAAAACGAATTGACGATACAAGCAAAATTGGAGAGAAAGTTAAAATCCATAAAAAATCTTGTTCTGTCTAGTTGGTATAAATCAGATTAAATGAATTCTATTCTATTCTTGCTCTAGTTAAGCGATTATTGGCGGTGCACATTTAAAATCTAAATTAAAATAGAGATTACGAGCAATACACCATGATTTAATTTATTTATAAAACTGTTCTATGTAAAAAAAAAAAAAAACCCACGCTAACACAAGGAACATTGAAGTACAAAAAGCAAACAGAAATAGAAATGTATATCTTATACTTTAAAATAATTTATATCTTATTGTATCAAACATTTACATTTACTAGGTCTTAAAATTGTCCAATTTTGCTGTAGATTTGAAGTTTAAAAAATTTACCTATTTAAAGGAATCTAAAACGTAGTGCAAGGCTTATAGTGATAGATTTTAGTATTAACATATTTATTAAACGTGTGGATATGATTAAATTAATAAAATGATTAAAAGCATAACAATATATTATTTTGCGGCTTGTTATTTTTTTGTTTTTATTATTAGAGGTTTTTTGTTTGTTTTTGTGGAAAGCACAGAGACCCAGACGAATATGGTATTCATATCTTATAATTATTTTAGGGTCTCCTAGCATTTATTTGTGCCACGAATTACTAAAAATGTTAATATCCCAAACACAATTTAGTCCACCTATGAATTGCAGTTTACACATATCTATTTATTTATCATCATTCAAATTCAAGAAAAGCAATATCAGATGCTGTCAATCATAGAAGCAAATATACCATTTGCAAATTACGTGCTTCTTTGTCGGATTACATAATTTTTTAAAATAAAAACATTAAACAATGATTAAAAACAAGGATTTTACCTAAATTTGAGAAAAGTGAGTTTACAATTAAAATATAACGTGCATTACAGATTTTAAAAAAATTTTTGTTCTTCGTTTGCATGCGAAGATTACCAATATCTTCTTTTCAGTTAAGTAGTGTCCTTGCCTGTGGCTTTTATTTATTTTTTTTGACCATTTGTCCGTCTCACTTTCTCGTTTCCAAGTTTGATCAAATGCCAAGACTTAGGTCAAGACGCCATGTAAATACATTGTTAAAACGCAGCATAAATAGTAGTATAGCTATTAACAAGTAAAGTTTTTTTTTAAGCTATTCAATTATTAACCACATTCCATTCACTTAATTTTAATCTTTAAAACAACTCATTATTTTTATTTATTTAAAATAATGTTTTAAATAAACAAATATTTAAAATGTTTTAACATACTGGAATCCTCTTGGTGCTAGGCCCATGTTTGTTCCTTGCGTACATCAATAAACTTCCCGAGAAACAGACATCCCAAGTAAGACTGTTCGCAGATTACTGGATGGTGTATTGGACGATCGCAAATAGTTATGGACTATGACCAGCTACAACAAGATCTCAGTCGGTTAGCTGAGTTGGAGAAGAGCTAGGACATGGGATTTCATCCTTCCAGATACTGTAAGTCTCTAGAAGTTTTACTCCGCTACATCATCTGTAACACATTCTCTGACATGCTATTTCTTAGGGCGTTATGTC